GTAATCGATTCCCATTTAATTTAGGGACGCATGCAAGAAACAACAAAAGCAATTTAAGGACAACGATTCGGGGAAAGCACGCCGAATGTTTTCCCAGAATAAGGAAGCCTAGTATTATAGAATTAAACATCAAACAACCTTCTTCTCCCCCGTCATCTCCATCTTCCCACATTCTAGTTAATACAACTGCCGTCAAGTTACGTAGCAAACAGCAATTTTGAGGGTTGGTAGTATATACAGACAGAAGTAAATAATAGTTGAAGGGTAAGGCGAATGTTAAGATCGCTTCCGAACAACATTTTCAATTTGGCTGCAAGTTATTTAGCTTGAAAATGAACAGTTTGAAATTACATTACAGCGCCGATTTTAATCTAATACATCCGAAATTGCAATTCAAAAGCTCCGCAAATCCGTAGGAATTTTGAATTCGTCATATACCCAATAAAGAATAAATGAATCAGTAAAAATGAATTTATGAAAGAGAACGAGCGGGGAGCAACGGTCGAATTGAATCAGAGGGAAACGTACTTTAATTAGTTACAAATTTATGATGACTATGGAAAAGTCGTATTTACGAAGGTCAGATGAAAAGGAACCGAGCTAAATCCGTTTCCCCGAAAAAAAAAATCATCTTACTTTGACTCCGGCGCGTTTTCTAAAACGCCAAATTACGTTTCACGAGATTAGAGAGAATTTTCGAACTGTCCGAATTTAAAATCGAGAAATAAAATATTAACTCGCAACGAGCAATTTGAATTCGGACTGGGCAAACGAATAATTTCCAGGAAATTCGTTAATATACTGCTAAAGAAAATCTAGTTAATCTAAAAATAGTGAACAAGAACTTTACAAATTTTGTAGCACATAAAACGCGATTAAATTAATTCTTTACATTATCTGAAAATACATGTCCTAATACCACTTTTAGAAACAACACGAAAGCTTTTCATAATGCAAAGAAAATCGGAATAAAATTTCCATGTCTGACTAGGACATCGGGAACGTTTCTTGGTAATAATGTTCATGCATTTTATTGGATAGAAAGCTTTCTCGCGTTCTTTACTTTTTGAATAAAAATTATATTCCCTGCATAAGGTACTACCCCGTATTATGAGCGCAGCGAGCATTTTATTTTGCCGTTCGCAGTAATGTTTATCGCAGGAAAATCCTTAGTTTATATCATTATCATAAATACTCAAATATGCATGTGGAAGATAGAAAAATTGCGAATTTCTAACACACATTTTCATAAAACAACAGTAACTCTCTTTTTTACAGTACTTTATCACTTAATTCGAGCCTTACACTCTAGTCAAAAATATTTTCGCAGGAGAAGACAAAAAGCTCAGAAATAATCTCGAACGTTCCCAAGGAGGTCATTTATCTCGTACCAAAGCGAGAAAGCTGAAATATTAGACTAACCAGATACGCAGGATTCCAACCTTTTTATGGGATGTACGCAAATTACCTCTCTACGTCTGCGGGAAATACTTTCAGGTTGATATTTTTCGGTCGGGTATAATCCGTTGTTACGTTTTATAATAGCGAGATTTCGGTTCGAGCCCGAGAAAATTTTTATTCCAATGAAAATATTTAGTAACGTTATTACAAAAATAACGTGGAAGTAATAATGTATTCGATTTTTTAATGTTTTTCAAAGTTTTTACGGTCAAGCTTCAATTGCTTTCAACATTTAACAATCTACAATAGTTCGATGAATCCAAATCTAATTAAATACGAACCGAACGCAACGCTCGTTCGATGGTAATAAAATACGCGGATGTGTATATCAAATCTAACAGGATTAGCCTATTTTGTGGGATTATTGGCATAATTTTATTGCCACAGGAATTAACTGATTTTTAATCATTTCGTTTATTGGCAGAATGGTGGAGTTATTGCCCGTGTTTTCGCTAATTTTCCGTTAAGACATTGTTAACGCTCCATTCGATCGCGAGAATGCTTTTTTGGATCGGTTTGGATAGGGATTTCTTTCGTTTTCTTAGCTCTCATAAGAACAAATATTTGTGATTCCTGTAAAAACAGAGCAGCGTTTCCATGTGAGAAGACGAAAACATTGATTTATTTTTTCGGAATGATACCAATCGACTAATTCAAACAATGTATAACGTATTTTCGCTAAAGATAACTCGAAAAATTTCCGGGTTTCTTTTCAAAGAGTCATTTTAGCACGTTTAATCGATGAGTATCAACAGTCATTTATAAAGGATACGATATTGGCAAGTCCTTTGCTGCAATACGCTGATAACTGGATATAATGGTTTCTGAAGATTAAGCTTGCGAATTCAACGTACCAGTTTCATCTCGTTTTCCCGCTATAATTAACGTCAATACATAAAATCCGATTACTAGTGTGCTAATCAAGTAACATTAAACCTTGATTGGCACTAATTCCGCGCATAGCTATATTATCTAAGTAGGTGGTAAATACCCATTAATAGGGAATATAGATTTGGTTAATTTTACATAACAAAAAGAATATTTTCTTTGATATCAGAGAACATAATGTATTTCGTTATACCTATGTATATGTATAGAAATTACGTTACTTCTTCGCATTTGCGTGCTTTATTATTTTTACCATTCGCTGTACTTACGTGTATGTGTACATTTATCTTCAATCTACTAAAGCAGGTTTTAGTTGATCACAATTTTCCATGTTTCGGTATAATCAGTTTTTTAAAATTTCACAGATAACTCAAACAATGGGTAGTTATTAGTTATTATTTTTACTAACAAAGCAATAGAAAATAATAACAGTTCTACTCTATAAATTTCGTTTTATTAAAATAATTTTCATTTTATCTCGTTGAATTCAATTCCCAATTATTTAATAGCAAAACCTTTCCTTCTAATGTACATACATAATGTACATAATATTAAAAATAGCAGATAAATTTATTTTTCAAATTCGTTCCACTTGCTAAATTTCGCTTTATTTTTAAAATATTAACTGCAAATGCAACATGAAATTTAAATTATTTTATTTTATACAACTGCACTCGTAAAAATGAGATTTATTTCAACTATTTATGTAGTTACACAATAAATAGTAATATTAAATTTCGAACAAAAATTAGCCAAATGTGGGAAAATTTATGCGGCCAAATAAAATTGCATAAAATTAAGTGTAATTCATTATTCGAGTTTGATCCACATTGAATAAATTATTTCTATAGGCACGTTATGTGATCAATAAGCACAAAGGATTTTAATATAGGTTTACCTATTCAACAATGATTTACCAAAGCACTAATTTCCATTTATTGGTGTAGGCATAATTAAAAGAGTAAAATTGGAGGTTGGAAATAACGAGTTTTTAAACAACGCTCGTTTGAAATGACAAAGGAGCGCAAAGGATTTATTTTTATTGAAAGATACGCTTAGTTTTATTAGTGGAATTCTAAAGAAATAAAAATCGTATTACAATGGAAGAGAGAGAAAATGATTAAAATTCGTTAGAGAAAAAGTAAATATTTTCCGTTCGGCATCTGCCTAGAATATTTATGTCAGAGAAAGAAATCTTGGTGGACGAAATGCTTTTATATTACACCAAATTTTTAACAAATCTAATATTCTTGATACCTTCAATAATCTCAAAAAATATACAAGTTTTACTACGTAAAACTTAAAATTTGGGAATATAATTACAATAAAATAACGTTTATTTTAATTAATTCGTTTAGAACAAAGCGGAATTAAATCAATGAATTCGAACTGATTCAATGCGACAGAATTTTGTTAAAGTTATTGTTCAAAATGCTATAAATTCTGAATGATTTGACGTTTTTAATCACACGAATATTTGCTTTTTATCTTAATGAATATTTTATTAATTTGGTTTTTTATAGGCAACAGATATATCAGTTTATTAACACAAGTTGTCAGATCAAACTGACTGTAATTTTCACATGCAAGGTGGTAAAATAAATATTAGTTTCATTCGAACGTAATTAAAAATAAAAATTGGATGAAACAATTTGAATGAGCGTTTTTAAATAGAAAATATTAAATTCATGGATACTCCCTCAGAGATAAGAGAGTCGTTTATTTTTTATGTATTCCTACATTTCTATTTCTATACAATTTTATACATTTAATTCAAATAAACCTAAGATTTTATGATGCCAAGTCAAGGGAACACGAAAATAAAAAGAAGACAAAACTACCAAACCTCGCAGAGAACCTCGTTGACCTCAGCAAATGAGGTCACGCTCATGTAGCATTAAAGAGTAAAAATATTATTCAAAAAAATAAAACAAAAATATCCCACAAAACTACTTAAATGTTCCAATTCCTTATTATATTTGGTTTGTCTATCTTTTCCTTAGTATGTTTAAGAATAAATACTATTTAATGGTGGTACCTACCCAATTAATTTGAAAAAAAAATAACTAGGAAATTAGAGTAGGTAAGTAATAAACAAATATAATAAGAAATTTTCTATTGATGTAGAAATGATAAGAAAACATTCGCTACTTCATAGATGACAGAAATTCGGCAGGAAAATTGGTATATCAATTTGCTTTTAACAACGTTGCCAATGCTTTATTTGCTCAAAGGAAATAATTTTCTTTCGAAAAAATACTAGTCGAAACCTAATACATTATGTTATTGTGATTAATACATAATAGTTTTACTTATAACTAGAAAAAATTCAAGAAAAAGTTGTCTAAACGAGTGAAAAGAGGTACTAGTTTCCATCAAGTTTTTGAAATTTCCACCAACAATCTTTAAGTGAGATTATCAGAACACTAGCCAATTTTTTTGTGATTTTCGAGGTTGTGAAAGGGGAGTATGGAAATTGGTCTGTTCAAGTCGGCTATTCCCGTTCGGTCCCAGTTTGTTTTTAACTCACTAATTATCAGATTTCCTTCGGGAAAAGCGCGCGAACGTGACAACAACGCTTCGCAGGCGAATTTCCCGACGCAGCAGCAGCCGAACGCGGCGAATGCGACGGTGCTGCCGGCAGTGGTTCAGGTGTCGATAAAGAGGGCGGTCGTCGCGACGTCGAACGTTCAGGCTCTAGCGGAATTTTTCCCAACTGCGCTCTTCGCCCCCCGCCGGATTTTCATCTACATAATGTATCGCCAGTTCTTTCCATTCCGGGGTGTCGAAAATTTCGAACTGCTTAATTGCTATGCGTACCGGAAAATGTTCTGAGTCGGCTCTGTCGCGGAAAAAAGCGGTATTTTTTTAATTTATAGGAACGTTCTGTGATTACCCCAGTTTCGCAAGATGTCTTAGTAAAGAAAGTTAAAAACAATATCCAAGTGCCGGTGCCAGTGAGTGGTTGTAACAGATTTAAGTGCTCTAAAAGTGCGTATTAGTGTTATTTCAATGAAATCGTGTGAATGCTGTAACCGCTTTTAGGAAGTTGCAAAATGTGCAAACGGAAAGTTTGAAACTAGGAACGATCTTCTGGATAACGATTTTATTCTAATTGTAAGTGGTATTGCGTTTAATTTGAAGCCATAAGTTTTTGTCATAATCCATACCCGCCTTTGCGGTACCACCCTCATTAAGCTCTCTAAACCGACATTAAGCCGACTTGGGAATAAGAGGAGAATCGCCTCATTTAAATCGCCTTGTGGCTTCAAAGTAAAATCATTTAATCTAATCTACTTATTAAAAGATGTAGCTTGTACCAATAATTATTGAACATAATACGTATTTAATTTAATCCAGCGATTTCTTTGGTCAATTCTTTAGACTCCAACCAGTCTCTACTTTAATCTCAGTTTAAAGCTTATTTTTAAGTTCATAACAAATAATATATACAGGGTGTTCCAGCAAATTCCAGTAATGCTAATAAACTTAAACATACTATATAAATATGTCAGTATAAACTACATGTATGTACTAAATAATCAAAAATTAAATACACTTTATTACTTTCATAATTATTAATGTATGTGTGTACACTGCTTCACTGTACATATAATAACAGGAGAAACTGGGATACTTTTGTTTGTTTTATTGATTGCTAAGTTTAGTAGAGAAAAACAGAACAGGGGTTAATTTGGGGTGAAATTGTTCGATGATACTATCGAAAAAAGTGTTTATTTAGAGGTAAAAAAGAAATATACACATTGGTATTAGTTAATTTACTACAACTCCAATAGGTAATAATGGTTAGAAAATTGATTGATAGTTGATTTTCAGGGTACCTATTTATAACAGTAGATAAATCAATTTATAAACGGAAACGAGAACGTCGAAAAATGGCAATTTATTCCTCACGAATATTGTTTTTATTTCTTCCGAAATAAAGAATTATTATTCCAGGCAAAACATTTGTCTATCCAAAAGAGGAGAATATGTCGTTTGGTAAAAGTTATCGCTGAATTCGAATTTTCCTAAACAAAGCAAACATTTTTCATTCTAGGAGCATTTAAAAACAACGTTTGTTTTAAAAAGTCCGCATCATGCAGTTCGCCCATTAATTTAGCTATTATATTCAGTAGACACGTCCTTTATTGAACAACCCAAACTTTTTAATTACAACCTTTTGTTGTTCCTGTCGTTTAATGCATTTAGTGAACCGGAGTTTAAGTTAAATAAACGGAACAAAATGTAATTGTTTCTATTGCATTTAAATCTCACAGTCGTCTCGTGCTTGCGGAAAGACGTAGTATTTACGAAAGTTTCCTTAACGAAGCTGAATTATTTCGTTGGTCTTAGTAAACACTACAGAGGAAAATTTAGAACTGAATTCATCAAAAAAAAAAACTGTAAGATTTTTCTGAACTTTTCTGCTCCATTAACGGCGACGAAAGTATTCTGTCACTGTCGCGATTCGCGTCAAATCTTAGCTCTCGCCTCATCGCTCCCTAAATATTCATGAAGGCGGCCTTTGAGCTATTTCAAAACCTAATTCGGCCCAAAGGTGAGAGACCCTACTTAAGTCTTCGAAGATCTAATAACTTGGCCTAGGAAACGAAATTTATTCACCCCGCAAGAACTGCTACTCCCACTCGTACACCGAAAACAAGATGAAATTTCGCGGAATAAAGACCGAGCGAAATGCAATCTTCCCTCGCGATAGCTAGATATCAAATTTAATGATATAAAGCAGGCAGAAGAAGATCTGAAGAATAGGGAGTTGTAGTTGGAATCATCGAGGATGCGTGTAACATTTCACTGGAAGGGAAATTTATGAACTAGCCACTCTTAAAGCATAACTAATGTGAAAAGTATCGTCATAAATTAAGAGAATACTTTTGCATTCAGTTGGTGAATAGGCCATCTATATTTCAACCAAATGGAATTCGGTGAAGATAAATAAAACAAGAATCCTTGTTTGTCTAGTCTAGACAATCGATACAAAATTCCAATCACGTTTCATTCGGACAAACGACAATTTAAGACCAGATTTTACGCACGTGAGATGCTTTGGGAGAACATATACTTTCTCTAGTTTGTCAGGACCAATCCTCTAATTTTAGATACCGTCTGAAGTGATTCATTATTAACGAAACTTCAAAAACGTTTTCCGGTCCGGTCGCTGCCAAGCAAAAGACAATAGAAAGTCCGCTTTTGCCTTTAGGTTAAAGGATAAGAAAATATCGAACACTAAACTATTAATTAGGCAAGTTTCGGGTAGCATGGCGCGCTTTATCTCGCAAATATGTGGAAAATTCGCGAGGAAACAACCCTCTTTAACGAGGTCAATATACACGGTGTTCTATTAAATTAAATACAAAATTAGAAGCCATTTTATATGATCATAACTTGTATCCGCGTAAACCTATCCGAAGCGGCAGAAGTAAATGTAAAGGAACTTTAGAGACTTTGGTAATGAGAGATTCATTCGTAAGGATTTTAATTGAAGACCCAAAGACGATTGAGAGGACTTTCAATCACAAATTCTACTTCGAAATTACTCCATATTACCGCTGAGGCAGCAAATGAACTTGCAAAAGTAGAGAACAACTCGGAATTCAAGCAACTTCCGATAAAAGCGGTCTCTAGATGTAATTAGTTTATTAATTATTTTTTAATAACCAGCCTCATTGGCAATTTTAAAATCGAAATGAGTGATTGATTATATTCAATACGTTATTAATACAAAATAAAACAGAACGAAAATTCCCATTAAAAGCTGAATCAATTGAAAGCGCTCGATTATTACGTAGCATATTAAATGATATAATTAACAAATATTATGTAAACATCTGTTCGTGGCAAGTTCAATTTCCTGCCCACTGAATTTCTCAATAGGTGTTTCCTGACCTCCGGTAGTTCATCGATAATGTATTTATTTATTCGTCAATAACCCCGGGGAGCTTTATTTAAAATATAATACTTGAGCTTTCGAACATCACGACCATAATAGAGCAAATTTGAATGGGGTATTCGCTCATTTTGCTCCAAATCTATTAAACTAGTAAGATAAAATGCATTTCGGGCCCTTTCATAATTTATATCTAATTATTTTGAAATTGCATGAAAGCTCCTATAAAATGTCCAAGAACTTTTCATACTCTTCCATTAAATAAATCAATTTAAATAAATCTTCTATTTCATCTATTACAATGGCTGTAAATTACAATTGCCTTAATTTATTGATTGATTAAGAATATCTCGAATAATCCAAAATGAAATATCCGAAATTCGACAACTCGTTTTAATAAGCCATTATAGCCGCAAGGAAGTAAAAGAAGCAATACAACGGGATAATGTGCAGCATGACTCATTTCAACACAATATTCCAGTATCGAGAGCAAAACTCCCACAATAAAGTTAAATGAAATTGTACCGTGTTCAGGATTCTCGTTTACATTTATTTTCCATTTGTTTGCGATTTTCTCCAAGTGTACATTGACAGCGGTTCGGATGCAGATATCGATGAATGCAACCGCGAAAGGGAAGATCAATCAGCAAACTTTATTCCCTATTCAACGATTGTCCCGTTGTTCAACCGGTTTTGAGTTATGCTTTATGGAAATCGATAGACTTTTTTTCTCATAAATAACTTGAATTAGTTACTCGAATTTTGCCGGGAGGCGAATGATCGAGCCAATTTTAATCGAATTGTTTTCAAAGTCGTTTGACGTGTGGAAAAAGTTTACGACTTCAAAACAACCGTCCAAAAATAGTAGATATCTAATTTCATTGGCACGCTTTTTTGGCGGAAAAATAATAAACCGATTTTTTCTAAAGATAGTACTTAATGGCAACGGCCAAATGAGAAAATAACTACTATTGACAGACAATAATGAAATTCGTTTCGTCGATATCGTTAATGATTCGGAAGAATAATGAACGAATTGGTATTGACAGATTATTAATTAATAGACGGACACAATATAAATCAGTTACAAGGAAATTTCGTTTCGATTCGATTAAAATGGATTTCCATTTGGCCATAGCTCGAAAAACAACGACAAAATCGTCAGCCTAATGGGCCAGTATTCACATTATAAATTGCTGGAACATGCTGCATTATTTCATTCGACTTTAAATTTGACGAAACCCTTTCAATATATCCACACTTGTCAGTAACAGATGATTCCGGGGGATCGAAAACTTGAATTGGAATTTCTAGTGGAAACCAAATAGTGCAAACGTTTAAATTTAAACGGTGCATGAGAGTTATTGAATTTAATACTGACCGCATAAATGGCTGGATTAATTCACAATTATTTTTTATGCAAGCATTCGATGGGTAAATTTTATAATTAATTTCAGGTCGCCGTCATGCCGAACGAGTATTGGAGAATTATCCTACTATTCTGCATCAGTCCGATTCTCATAGCTAAATCGATGGATACCAGTAAGTCAATTTCCGCGTTTAATTAAAACGTTTAATTCAACGGTTCTCTTCGTTTTATTTCGCCTAGGCGATTTCCAAGTCGAAGCTCCGCGGCATACCCTAATTACATAATTAAGTGTTGAGTCCACGATATTGTTAATAATCTCCCGAAAACTCCACTTTCAAACACTTCCAGCAGTCTCGGGATGCCGAGTTTTAATACCTAAGTTTCTACCTCATATAATAAAGCTGCAGATTTAAGTTCAAAGATCTTGTTAACCCTCCATATAAGTTTTTGAAATTACGCAACAACTGCGATAAAATATAATCAAAAAATTTGCTTCACTGATGAGAAAAATGTTGGAGTAAGCCAAGATGCCAAATAATATCGAATAATATGAATTTACTAAAAATTGGTGGATATCTAGATACTTAAAAATTGTGTAAAGCCATTCAAAGTCACGATTTAAGTGAATTTATCGCCATATGTGAATTAAACGCTTTCCGCACTACCAATGAGAAACTTGGCGAACGCACGTGAAAACTCTCGCGAGCACACAAAATTTGATAAGATCGCCTTTTTCAAGGAAAACTACCAGCTTGTCACGTAATAACGTTATTGCCTCGAGCGGTGCACGCTATCCGTTTGTAAATATTTCTTTTGAATTTTAAATAACGGAAAGCCCTCATAAACGGCGAAACGTACAGATAGGAAAATCGAAAGTTAGCATTCAACGAGGAAATCTCCCGTTTTTCACGATCCGAACGGGAGCCTCCCTATTCGTATTACGTATATAAACTTAATGATTATGTTATTATTAATATCGCTGAAAATGGAACTGGGACTGCTCGTTACTCCAACATGACATAAAACGACTATAAACCCCTCGCTGTTATCTCTCCACCAGCCGGGGACGTCTCGGCAGCGTCACGCTGTGAGCTATTGCCACTAGTTCCACTCTGTTGCGGCTCCGGGGTATACGAAATTGATGGTAACGGATCCGAATTTCAACCGACGCCGACTATTATTTGTCGGATTTTATTCTCCAATATCTACTCTCCGTTGTCGATTTTCAGTTAGAGACACCCCTAGATATCCCGAAATTTGCCCTAATTTGGGTTGTTTACCTATCAGCCAGTTTGCGATAACGAAAATGCCCCTATTTTTTCGCATCGTGTGATTTTCATACAAGTTTCTCGTACGTAAAGAGAAGAAGTCGTACGTAGTGTACGATGTTTTTTTTGTATTGATTCCTGGGACACAAACAACGTTGTTTGTTTGATTTTCCGTCGATTCCCAATTACCAGAAGTTTTTTAACTTCGTTTGAAGTTTCTCTAGTTCAACAAATAAAAAAGAAACGGGGCGGAAACCATTACGTATGTAAATATTAAGACGCAATCTTTAAACGTACTCGTGCATTTTACATACCCCATTACAAAATCCATACATAGGAACTCGCATTTCTAATGTACATTTATAAACAGAATAAATAACAAAAAATTGACTATTCATTGATTATATAGACACTATTAAATATTTAAAAAGTCCAAATTACCCCTTACCATATAGTCTATTTGATCAATATTGGCTCATAAATTTCCGTTTATTTAATAATTCATTCTCATTCATCTAGGTCAATCCTAATTTTTCATCACTTCTTAATAATACTTGCTTAGTTCATTTTATTTCCAGCGGCGATATTGGATTAAATAAACTGCAATTTAATAGGTTTATAAAACAACTAAGAAGATAGAAGCAGGGCTACCATTGTGTGTAAAATAACGTTCGCTTTATATTTAATGAAATTGGAAACGGGGAAATTGTTTTCGCCGCTAATGAAGATGTTAATGGTAATAGCGAGACCATTGTCATTAAGCCGAGGGTAGTTAATAAAGTTGAAACGTTAAAATCGACTTGACATTGATTAATTCGTATTGTCATGCGAGTATGATATATTTCCGAGTCGGCAGATGAATAATATACTAAGGTTGAATTTACACGTTACATTTACAAATTACTTCAAAACCAAATAAGCAACGTTATCCGAAAGGGTTGTAAATTCTAAAATGTTTCACCGTAACTTGACGTTTTAAACGTTAAAAAAATGTAAAAACGATATAATTATAAGAATAGATTTATTAGAATTCCATATAATTAACAGAAACCTTAAAATTATTTTATGAATTAATAAATGTCTAACCAATACTGAGGTTACCCAATTCCATTAGCAAACGTGACAGGTCGAGACGATTTCCACCCCAAACATCACATTCATGTCCCAGTAATTTTAAACAATCCGAAAGGACTTTCGTCCTTTCCGTCAGTACAAACGGTAGTTCTTGGTTCAAAACAGCTCGAGCGTGTTTGTAGTTCATTAATACATCTTCGAATTGATGTCGGAGCTTGTTTAGAGATTTCTGATTAATGTTCATCACTTCCAAAATGATTTTGAAGTTTTTCAACGCCAATTTGTAGTCGTTCTTTCTTTGATCGTGTTCCTGCTTGAGCTGCTTTATGTTCTCGTATCGATTCAAGGACACGAACAATTTCGATTTTAAGTCTTCGAGCGATTCGAGCTCGGCCGTTTCGCAGACCTTTTTCAACGAATTCGATATCGGTCCCGTTATTTTGTTTTCGTGAACTACGTAGGAATTCAGAACTTGCGTGAAACGCAAGGAGGATTTGATCTCGAGTATCATGCAGTCCAGGTACTGAAGACAGTGGTCCAATAAGTTTTCAATCAATTCGTAGCTTTCTATTAAAACTTGGTCTTGCAAGGCGGCCGTCGATTCATCTATCTGTATATTGGCTAATACCACTTTAAGATCCTCGTATTTCGACGATTCGTCTTCTCTGTAATACTGAATTGTGGTTTCCTTCACGCTGAGCTGGCTCTCGTAGGAAACGCTATTGTGTTGATCGGAATTCGATTTTGCTAATTGGGTGCATTTTTCGTTTTCTTCGGTTTCTTCGATTTGCTGGATAATTTGCTGTTTCAATAATAAATTTAGATTTTTCAATTTCATGAGTTTCACATCGGATTCCAACATTTTGCTGTGGATAAAATATGATTTGACATTGACATAAACTCATTCTGAAACTATGGAAATTTATACAGAGTGATCGAATAGAACCAGTACAGATACCACATATGCATAGAAGAAGAAATTAGTGCTGAAAGAGAAATTTATAAAACATGATTTGTAGATATGTAGATAGCAGAATTATTACTGAGTTGGTTCTATTAAGAGAAGATGCACTGAATAATTGGTGCAAATTGATATCAGAAATATAGGATATCACCGTCAATCAATTATATTACATTTTAATGGAGCTCATCAATCTTTCAAACGGAACATTGTAGGAAAATTAGTTCACCGTTCTCTAGGCATGCGGAATCAAAAGCTCGACAAATTTCATAAATTTCTGAATTTGATTGGCACTATATACTTCTGCAAATTAAATTAAAATGTTTGTTCAGCTGATTGCATTAAACATTTTAGTTATTTTCAACGCGAGTTCTCTTTGTTTCGTTTTTTTATATTGCAACGCCCATTCATGCATTATGAATTTCAACAAAATATCCCGGCGCTAATGCAGCACGTAATAGAAATTTCCAACGCCGTGCGATCCTCATAGGTACTTACATACCAATAAAATTTTCCACGTTTCCGTTCTCGATGCGTTCGCGCCGGCATAAACGAAAATAAACGCCGCAGGGATAGCCATCGAAGATCTAACACGCAATTACCCTTGTTTTCCACAGTTCGGCGCGATGGCCATCAACAACAACAGCAAAAATATTCGGAATGGCGGCAATTGTGGTATCCGAGTTTCGAGGACTTTTCGAGGGCCGAAGCCATGACCGGAGCCGAAAACAATACCATTACCAACGTAACGGTACAATTGGGAGCGACGGCTTACCTCCATTGTCACGTTAGGAGCACCGGGGACAGGGCCTTGGCAGGAGGAGAGGTATATAGTTGGTTACTTTATACATATATTAACGTCTAGACCCAAAGAGGGCAGTATTTTCTTTAACCCGACAAACCCGACAGCCGGTTAACCTTTATGCTAATTCCGTTAATTCGTTGGAGTTAATTTATTTATCTTTTGTTTGTTATAGCAGGTCTCTTGGGTGCGTCGAAGAGACTGGCATATCCTTTCGTCGGGGGTTTTTACATACACCAACGACGAGCGGTTCCAAATCCTCCACGCAGAGGGCTCGGATGATTGGACCCTTCAAATAAAATACGTTCAAAAACGAGATAATGGTACTTACGAATGCCAAGTAAGTAAATTTTCATCGCGCTTTAAATTGGTATCTTCGCTAAGTGTTTTATTATTTTCCTAAAATTAACCAACCTTCTATCAGGTATTTTGTAATTAAAACCACTTTTCCGTTACACGTACCCACTTCCCGATATTAATTCTGTTCGTGTAGCCGCATAAACTGGAAATCTAGTCGCTTTAAATTAGCGGCGAACTTTCTCACGATAAAACTGGGAGAATCACACAATAATGGCTTTTCAGTGTTGTTCGGTTATAAACTAAAAGTTTCGGCATAGTCGTCTGATGGGCAAATTAGGTGTTTCGAATAACATTTAAATTACGTTTAAGTTTCAAGCGATTATCGCAAACAATCAAACGAAATTTATTGCACTCTAGCTGACAGAAATGCAACACAATTTGAGTACTTTTAAATGGATTCTATAAACTTAGTTTGTGGTGCATCCATAAAGAGATTCTTTTAGAATTTAGAATCAATATTTCATTCGGTGGTTGTAATAAATCAATAAAGAAAAAATGGAATTTAATTAATTCAATGCTCGACATACGTAGAGCCCGTGCAGCATATACCTTTTGGTAACGCCGAAATGCAATTCGGGTTTTCCTGTTCGTCATTCGTCGCCATTGCGCCTGTCACCTATGAATATTAAAACGTAATTACCTCCAAGTAGAACGGGAAACAGGAATATCCTTGTTTGTACCTTGCAGATGAGCTTCCGCCCTCTGGAATTCCAGACAGGATCTCGTTGAAATTCTCTCCTCAGAAAAGGGTCTCCTGTGGCAACTCACGTTCAACTGTCGACACAATGTACGCGGCGGTCTTTTGTAGCGGCGGGTCTAATAAATTCGCGTCTGTTTCAGATGTCGTGCACCTAATAATAAAGAAGGGCTATATTAAGCTCTTTCGTAACCCGTGGTTTAACGGAAAAACATCCTTCTTTCAGGTATCCACCAGTCAAGGGCGCATTTCCCACTTCGTCAACTTGCAAATCGTCGTTCCCGAGGCTACTATACAGGGTATCAGATCGGGGGAGCATCACGTGGACATCGGTAGCATCATCGATCTCGTTTGCATTATCGAAAGGGTATGTATGAATTGCAGTAAGTGCAATTATACTTAGAGGGACGTGGTTGTTTTGCAGAGTCCTACGCCGCCTCAGTACGTGTTTTGGTACCACAACGAGCATATGATCAATTACGATACCGCTAGGGGTGGCATATCGGTGGAGACGGTTCCAGGGCCAAAAACGCAAAGTAGATTAACCATCAGAGACACGAACGACGCTGATTCTGGAAACTATACGTGCTCCGCTTCTAATACGGAACCTGCTTCGATCTACGTGTTCGTATCGGAAGGTAATTTCCAAGCATATTAATCCATTTTCAAAACGTCTTTTTCTTAAAAATAGATTTTTAAATTTAATTTTGTTATAGGTGATAACGTAGATGCGATTCTGATGAGAAAATCACGTGCCGTGTGCATAGCGAGTCAAATAGTTCTAATTTTAATTAGCATGTTAACCTCCGCAATGCGATAGAATCGAAAGTATAAAACCAAAAAACTATTGTGATTGTGAATAATTTTGATTTAAGTGATAAAGACCATTTACCTATTACATTAAATTTATTAAAAATTATTGTTATGTATAAATTTTTTATCATAGACGGATGGAGCCCTTCTTAGAATTGAAACATCTACTAACATTGCAATTATTACCTACTTTTTATTATTAGTTAATACATAAATATAAAAATGTGTTTCATTTTAACTCGTAAATAAGAAAGAAGGGTTTCTTTCATTAGAAACAGAAACTTCTCTTGCATAATTAGGTACATGATAAAATAACAATTATATAGCTTAACCATAATCCATTGTAAATAAAACTTAATGTATTTTCAGCCAAACATCTGTAAGTTTTTTATTTATTGACTTTATACTAGAATGGCATTTCAAAATATAATTAAAAAGAACTTCACGTCGTGGTCAATACACTTAAAAATATTTTAGTCAATGGATAAGAATTTAACATATCTTAACCTTCCCTTAAAATCAATCCCAACTAAAAAATTTAAATAAATAATTCCACATGATCAAAAAGGCAACCAAAATATTCAGAATAATAAATCATTTTAAATTAATAAAATTATAGATTCTTGAATAAGAGGGTTCCATACTGTGCCAAGTAAGTTGAATTTTTAGTTATAAAATTATAAATATTTTAAACAAACTACAAAAAAGAGAGCTGTAAAATTTCCCACGAATGTTATTTATAGGAATGAATTTTAATTTCAGACCGAAATGAAAAGTAATTGTAGCCTAAAAGGGGTATAATTATTCTTTCGGTCAGTCTGAAAGTCATAAAAGGGAAATTAAAACTGTTTAAATAGAATGTTCGCATAACTACAATTTTTCTTCTGTATATGTATATAATGGTATAAATACATAGTAGTTATTAACTAATAAGGAATAAAAAATAATATACATACTAAAAGGATTTGAATCTTTTCATGAAATTCGTATAAAAAATGATAATTACAGGATTGAAGTTGGAAGAATATTTTTTCTCCGCGAGTAGAAGGGTGTTTTTATGTAACATGAGAGAAACAATTTTGTTCGATTTTTGAGAATGTTTTTTATTTTTTTTACTGAAATTCAAATCCTTTTTCGTCGACTACATTATCTTCACTTGCACTTCGAATTGTACATACATAAAAATCTTTTTAGTAAAAATGAGACATAAATTAAGCCGTAGGATAATACGTAATTATAAGTACATACATACCTACAAGTAGGCGAAGCCTACTTTCTTTTAGTTATCGAATACAAATGGATTTTAATGAACGAATTACTCGAATTATTCAGAAAAAAACACTGCAAAACATAGGTGTCTAAGTATGTACTCGATATCTTTATCCTTTAACGACAAAGTACATATAAATAAGTGGAAAATTAATTTCAAAATGGAAATATAGGTACAGAGATAGTTAAATTCCGATTTATCAATAACGAAATATTTTTTATGAAATGTCATTTAATTTAAAAATTTTCAATTTTCCCGAGAATTCCTTTTTTCCATAAGTGATAAACAATCTAATTATTTATTTTAAACGATGCATTGTTTAGTAATGTACCTATTACAATTTCATTTTGTATTTGCTGTACAGAAACTTTTTCCTAATTTTCAGAAAATAAAATATACAAAAACTTTTAAACTCTTTTATTTTTAATTTAGCTATCAGAAAAACTTTCATATCCTATAGAAAAAACGAAACTTGTAAAGAACGGGAAAGGCAATTTCAAAGTGGCTGGAAAGCTATAAGAAACAAGATCATATTTACAAATATACCTAATGTAAGCATTTACCAAAGGAAATTCTTAAAAAAAGAAGAAATTTAATTTTGTTGCAAATGAAATAGTAGAAAAAGGTAGGTTATATTTACTTCTTTTGTATCTATTAGTCTAATTTATAAATGAATTTCTGGATTTTTCTCGCTAATAAAATGCTGTGAGTATTTATTGTGCATTTCTGAACGTGAATAGATGAGCCAGCTATGCCATACAAATGGTGTTTCGTGCAATATTGTCGCAATACCACGACAAGAACTCCCAGCAAACGATTTGTTGCCGTTCCAAAAGATCCAGCGCGAAGGAAAAAGTGGTTTGAAGCAATCAAAAGAGAGCCCGAATACGAACGAAGAAAGAACTCTTCCTTAACCTGCTGCGAAGACCACTTCGATGTAAGTTGTTTAATTGCAATTTTCGAATTTCTTGAACTGTTTGTTGCAGTTTAAAATCGATATGGAAAACTATTTACGCTACGAAATGATGGGGGGTCCGATATTATTGAAAAAAGGTGTGGTACCTCACATTTTCGATCGGCCTAAACCTGGTGATTCCACAGCCAAACAAAGAAATCTCGAAGAAAGTGTTTACGAGCGACTATCAACAAATGGTGTAATTGAGTCGAAAATCGAAGTTGGAGAACAGTCAATTGTTGATAATAATATTAAGGAAGAAATTCACATAAAAAAAGAACTTGAAGAATTTGATGTTGATCCATTTAATGTTGAATTTGCTTTAACTAATATTAAGGAAGAATGTGGTAATTCATCAAGTTTATCAGCTTGTGAAGATTCCAATTTAGAAGTAAAGATAGAAAGTGAAGAACAAATCGAAGCAGTCAATGAAAATACCAACATTAATATAAGTAATTTTATCAATAAAATCAAAGAAGAAATAAAAGTAAAAACTGAAGAGACTTCTTCGAATTCGAACAATGAAACTGTGATAAAGGAAGAAATTGAAGAAACCTCATCGAATAATGAAAATGATACTTCTGAAACTTCAACAGATAATGAAACTTTAAAGAAACATCAAAATATTCGTATACGAGGAATCAAATATCTGTGCAATATTTGTAAAAAAACTTTCTCTCAGAGTAGTTCTTTAAGTCGCCATATGGCGATTCACGGTACGGAAAAATATGAGTGTAATATGTGCGAAAAATCGTTCTCTCTTATGAGCTATCTTAAGAGGCATCGGTTGCACCATACAGGAGAGGGGAAATACCAGTGCAATTACTGCGAAAAAAGGTTTACACAAAGCAGCAGTTTGAAGAACCATTTAGAAATCCACGTCGGAGAAAAGAAATATCACTGCAAATTTTGCAAGAAATCTTTCACGCTGAAGGACTATATGAACCGGCATTTGATAATTCACAACAATGAAGCGAAATACCGATGTACTATTAAAACAAATTCACCTGCAGATGTTGGTAATTTAAAGGGAAAAATTAATTACGCGTTCAAAAAAATACTCCATAAATAATTTTAAACGTCCATCTTACTTTTTTTTTTATATTTTAGTTTAGGTTGAAAATACATATGTTTTTAAAAAATCTGTGATCTACATAAATTTGAAAAAATAAATAAGTATTAAGTAAAAGAAGAATTATTTATTCTTTTCAACATTAATTACTGGTCTGTTTTCTACAGTTTCTCCAGCGCGGTCTTGTACTTTGTCATTTACGTCAGTGTCAATATGCCAATTATGTCATTCCTACCTATCACATATGCACTTATCTAATTAATTTGTGTGTTTAATATTGATATTATGAACTCTTATTATAATTGCAAAGTGATTTAAGAGTCGACGTTCAACGTGATAAGCAAATATTCTATTATTGCTAATTGACAACTAAGCATTAATTCAAAATGAACAAAATTGTTATATTCGGCTCGACAGGAATGACCGGCTTATGCGCCGTAGAATCGGCCATCAAGAAAGGTAAATATTGTTTCAATTACAATTTTTCACTCCACAATGACATGCAAAACGACATTATCATTGTATATTACGAGTAGGTCTTAATGTACGGGCGTTCGTGAGGGATCCATCCAAACTACCCGATCATTTGAGAGACAACGTCGAGATCGTGAAAGGGGATATTCTTGAATACGACAGCGTTTTAAACGCCGTAAGGGGCGTCGAAGGCGTAGTAGTCGCCGTTGGAACGAGAAACGACCTAAGCCCTACCACAGCTCTCAGCGAAGGCTTGAAAAATATCATCAAAGCCATGGAAGAATCGAACGTGGAAGTCATTTCTGTTTGTTTATCGGCGTTTTTATTCTACGAGCCGCAGAAAGTTCCGCCCAGGTTCCACGATCTCAATGCGGATCACCAAAGAATGCTGGACGTGCTGAAAGGGACGAATTTGAAGTATATCGCTTGTTTCCCACCGCACATTGCAGGTAAAGGTTTCTGTTTGATTTATTCCGAACGAAATTATGGTTATGAAATATTACAGATCAACCACCTGTTGGGTATCAGGTGAAAAACGGGGAATCGCCAGGTGGGCGCGTTATAACTAAACATGACCTGGGACTGTTCTTAGTCGAGTCGCTAACGAAACCGGAACATTACGGGCAAATAGTGGGAATTTGCAACAACCATGCCCAGTAGGCAGCTAATATAACGTATATGTTAAGCCAAAAAATATTTACAATTTTATCTTCCCTTTAACCAATTTTATTCCTTTGTTATGTGATAAGAATTGTATTTAAATTTCGACTGTTTTCAATAATATTTTTATGTAAAATGTTTATTATCTTATATAAAATTTATATAAACAATAAATAATCTGAAATATGTTCGTACTTTTACTAAAAAATTAAATATCTTTTTTCATGTACGTTTTGGGCGATTTCTGTTCTGTTGCAGGATTATTTTGTTTGAACGGTAAAGGCGGCGGCGGTGGAGGCGGCAAGGAAATCCTCGAATCGGCAATACTATTAGAATTTTTTGTACTATTTTCTACTGGCTTCTTCGGCAGACTATTGCAGACAATACTCACGGATCCCCCGTAAATCGAAACTGGCATGCATTCGATGTAGCCAAGCTTCGCGTAAAATTCTTCCTGGCCCCTCGTCGATAAAAAAATCGTGCTCAACCGCAAGTTCCTGCAGAAGTTCTCCGCCTCTCGCATTAGAACCGTCCCGAAGCCTTTTCCTCTCAACGCCTTGTCTATGACTAAGGACTCCAAGAAACAGGCGGTTTTAACGGTCGGTATTATGGACAGTTTAACGTGCCCTATGACTGTTTTGTCTTTGAGTAGGATCAGAGAGGTGGGCAGTTTGTCAGTAGATTGCGTTAGGCTGTGCATACGAGCCCCTTCGGAGCGCGTCCACTCTTGATTTATGAGTTTGCAACAATCATTGAGGTATTTCGGGTGTTTGTGGATGGGTACTACTTCTAAAGACATCTGAAAATTTAAATATGCAGTTCATAAATAAGTTGCAGAGGAACTAAAGGCAAGGTATGTTTGCCTGAAAGTTAGGCAACCAACATTACATATACTTAAATATAATCACTTATAGCGTTACTCATGTTATTTTTATTGATGTTAGTTTATAAATATGCACTTAACGTACCTTTAAATCCAGTGTTTATAAATTATTTGTGAAAGGAGCAACATCTGTAGGGTTAATACAATTTTGAATGTACTGATGAAAATGATGAAAATGGGGACAGGCTTGTGACAAAAATAAATCGATTTCTTCAACGATTTTCCTGAGGTTATTAATAAATTTAGAAAGAATAACTTACTGTAAATCAAAGGATTTTTAGCAACTGCATGATTGCCTGCTCTTTTTTTATAATTGACTGAACAACATCATAACCATACAGTAAAAGACAGCTGAAATTTGGCAAAACGTCAAAAACCCGAAACATAACATAACCTACAAATTTATTTGGTAAAGTGGTAAACAAACAATCTGGAATAATAATCTGCTTCAAAACAAAGATGATGTCCAGTCGAGTCATTCCCGATAATCCCCTGAGCCTCTCCTGGCAAGATTCTGTATGGATACCCATATTAAACACGTCCAATGTAATGGACTACTTTTCACAAGCATCAAATCCATTCTATGATCGAACCTGCAATAACGAGATCGTCAAAATGCAGCGGCTTAACCCAGACCAGTTACAGTAAGTTCATATAATCCTACTCCTGTAATTATTTACATTGAACCATTTATTTCAGAAACATGACTGGATTGGAGTACGTTCTTCTGCATGTACAAGAGCCGATACTCTACGTTATTCGAAAGCAACACAGGCACACCCCGCAACAATTAACTCCCTTAGCCGATTACTACATCATAGCCGGCGTGGTACACCAAGCTCCTGACTTAGCCAGCGTTCTGAATTCCAGACTGGTAGTAACTCGTTAATTTTTATCCAGCTCATCGCTGAGTTATGCCGCTCGTTTCAGCTCTCGGCAGTTCATCACCTCCAATCATCGTTCGAAGAGTCGTCCAGTTTCGCGAAGTACCACCCTACGAAAGGGTACTCGTGGGACTTCAAGTCGCAACGGGCGAATTTGGAGAAAGCGAAGAAGGAGGAGAAGCCCAGAGAGGAGCCGAGCTCTTTGTTCCAACGACAACGGGTCGATATGTTGCTGTGCGAGCTATTAAGGAAGTTTCCGTTGCCCACTCCGCCGCAGCCCAAGAGCCTGCCAGCCGCTCCGATCAAGTCGGAACCCGAGAACGGCCCGGCGGACACCAAAGATGCTAAAAACGAGATCAAACAAGAGAAAATTAAACCTCCTCCGGAGAAGAAACCAAGGATACATTAGGTTGCATAACTGTGATTCATACTTTTCGTAATTTTATTAGGTATATTTTTTCTTACACTGTATAAGTATATAGGCTTTAACAAGAAGTCTTTATTTTACAACCCCAATTCTAAATGAAAATCACAAAAAATCGAACTATTTAAATGTCAGCTTGTAGTTGGTTCCCCATCAATTGTATTTTTTCTCCTGGCTTGAAGGCAGGCATGCCTAGGTAAGGGCAGGTGGCGCATCGGAAAGCATCGCCTAAATAGCAACTCCCGCAGGAGGATTTCGGGGCGTCTTTGGTGTCCACCACTTTGCCTAGTTTAGCCTCCATGGCCAATTCGTCGGCTAATCCGCACGAGCAGTCTTTGCAGGCCTTGCGTTTGCCCGTAGTACTGCAAACTTTTAGGGAAGATGGGTCTGGTTTTTGCAAGTCATCCTCATCTAGTAGTTCGTTTGGATCTATAGTTTCCTCGTCGCCGTCTAGATCATCATCTAATTTCCACACTGGGGGTACTGCTTTCTTAGGTAGTTTCAATTGTACGGTTGAACCGGATGCAAAGTTGGGCTTATCGGCTGTGATATAGTCATCGAAAGTGGTTACGTTCATGAAACCCTTCGTTATGAGTTCTAGTTTGATTTTCTCTTTATCCGGAACATTAGTAATTATAATTTTACCACCATTAGTTAGAGATTTCAAGATTTTTGGTAAAATACTGCTGGATGGTGTTTCGCAATAGACCACAGGAACTGATTCGTGTTTGATGATGTCCTCTTCGGATGTTATTTTAGCGTTTTTAAATTCGTTTGATAACTTGGTAAAAACATCCGATTTGGTTTTACTTTCAACGAGTAAAATTTCATCGGAATTTTTTAATTCTTTTAGGAAACTCATTGTTTGAAATTTCTGAACTTTTGATTTTTGATAAAATCATAAACATATGACTGTAATGACACTTATCTTCTTCTTTTTTGTTTGTAAAATGACTGAACAAGACACTAGTCATCTGGGGTAATAAATTTTTTAAAGGTTGCCCATTCCGATTTACAAGACAGTTGACAAGCATGTCTTGTGTTTTGTCAGTTCCGTGTTGTGACTTGTGACAGCGTGACTGAATTTCGGACTATTTGGCAAAGCGAACGAAGACAACAAGGGAATATTAAAATGTGGATTATTTAGATGTGAAAGTGTTTATTTCGCATTGTCGTTGAGAACCATTAAGATTCCATTGTTACTTGTTAGTGTTTCCTAAAATTAAACAAAAAAATGAGTGATGACGACCGAGATATTGACGTTGAAAGCGACGTAAGTGCTTTGTATAATTTGCTGTTATTTACAACCTCCTGCGATCGATATATTTTTAGTAAATATAAATAATGTTTGAATTTTAGGAGGGTGACGATTCCGATTCTCGTCAAGCAACATCTAGACAGTCGTCAGGAAGTCAATATTATTCTCAGGTATTATGGTTATTCTGTCGAGGCCAATATATGCACACAAGCATAACTGTAATAATACCTGAAGAAAACTACACAGTAGCTTTATATCGTTTAATTGTTTCGACACATATATTGGGCAAGAGAAATGAAATGAGTCTGCACAAAACTTTAATTTTTTTGCAAACATTTTATTGAAGTACAATTCTTGATAAGACAAGTTTCGAATCAATGTTTAAAATATTCCAAGTGTTTATGCTAGCTATCAATTTGGAGCAGTTGAGTACTCGATATACAACAAAAAATGCCTGCTAAATTTATGTATCCCTCTTCTTCGATTTGTTTCACAGAAAACGCTCGTTATGATTGCTATTTAACTGTACCCTTTTTGCTTGTAGGCCGAGAAGCGAGCCCATCACAACGCTTTGGAGAGGAAACGGCGAGATCACATAAAAGACAGTTTTAGTAGCTTAAGGGATTCAGTACCAGCCCTAAACGGAGAAAAAGTAAGTAGTTATCGAGTAGTTTTAGCTGTACCAGTTCAAGTGAGCGGTCCAGGACTGGTGCAGTTATTGTATTAAGTTTCACAGTTATCATTATTTGTTTTTCAATAGGCGAGTAGAGCACAGATTTTGAAGAAAGCCGCCGAGTACATCCTCTTCATGAGGAAAAAGAACAGCTCGCACCAACAAGACATCGAAGATCTGAAGAGGCAGAATACCTTGCTCGAAGCTCAAAGTAAGACTATGCTGTTTTTGTCTGACAGAGAACATAATTAACTCAAAATATATCTCTTGCTTAAACCGAATAGAACTCTCTAATTTGTAGCTTATTAATACGCCCAAAAAATGATCAATCATTACACATGTATTTCATTTCGAAGCAATCTCCTCCCTTCATCGATGTTAGTTTCGTAATTGACTATAAAAGGTACATTTTAGTTCGTACGTTAGAAAAAGCTAAATCGACAGGGTCGTTCAATCTCGACGCGGACATCAAAGATAGTGTATTTAACGAGACCGAATCGGACACGTCTGATGCGGAGGGATCGTTGCAGCAGAGGAGGCCGAAGAAAATGAAAGTCGGATCGTACCATTAGGAATTAAGTAAGGTTTAGTAAATGACAAGTGTATTTGTAGATTGGCCGGGGCGTTTGTGACGTACGAACTGTTTTTTAACTTGCGTTAAGGGCTCGGTTGAAATGTTAACGAAGAAATTAATTCGTAATTATTGGAAATGCTGTTTTATAAGTGTATTTTTTAGGAGAAACATCGTAAAATACAATCATACTTGTCATGTTGTGTCCTCAAATATAAAATAAGTGTCACTTGTTTGTTTCCAGTTCTTTTATGGGATTTAAGTGATTTTTTTTATATAAATTTGAACATTATCTGTTAATACATATTTAGTTTATGTTTTATTCGTGGTTGTTCAGCCCTTGTAAAATGCTTGTATAATTTGTTATATCCGTAAAATGTTTTTGAATTTTAATACAATCTCATGGATAATGTATAATATTAAATTAGTTTATAGTTTTTATTGTTTTTTTAACGTCCTCGACAAATTAATGGAATGGGTAAGTATGGGGATAAAATTAAAATCGACAAATCGAATTGTATTTTTATTTTTAAGACATTAATATGAAACATAAAACTAACATGAATTTGTGTTCTAACAAAGAATATTAACAGATTAGTGTTAAATAACAATTTCGTCTCTAAAATTCCTAGAAGCAAATCAAAAATTTTCCAAATTAATTTTTTTGTAATTTTTCCGATCGCTTCAAAATATTAAAAAACAGCAATAGTTACAATTCAACAACAATATTGCAATAATTTGCGCCTGATGATTCAAAAACCGTGCTTTATATTTAAAATTGCAGAAAAACTCTAAAATTTAAATACATTCATATATTTCTAATAGAATAAATTCGTAATATAGGTAATTTTTATATATATTTGAAAACCAATAAAATACAGTTTACAACTACACCAAAAAAATACCTTATTTACACATTCGAGAAAAAATTTAAGCGAAATCAAATCATGCATTAAATTTACTTTAAATAAACTCATTACTTGATTTCAACATGTCAAAAATGGATAATAATGTCCCTGGTTGAATCAATTCAGTTGTAAAATCCATGTTGAATCATTTACGGCCATTTGATGGACAATGTGAAATTTAAAACGAAAATACAATTTACCAAAAAATAGAATATCAAATAAAATATATACGAAACGACGTAACCACATATAATACATTTTGATTCACAACGAATGGCTGCCAATTTAATGACGATTGTTCTATTCCACAAAGTATAACAATTCTTTAAAGACATTTAGAATATCCCTATAATTACATCATAATTGCATAACTCAATCAATTTGAATGCAAGAGAAATAACGACGTACCCAGTGAATCAATCTGTATTGGTACAGTAAAAAATTCAGACAAGTAGGTACCTAATTTATTTAACACAACCGAACTAATCCCTTTAGTAACCTCTACCACCAACAAATGTCTCGTATAATTCCATAACCGACGCGAGAATGGTAGAGATTACCAAGTACATTGCCTCTAGTTCAAGAATTTTATTCAAAGTTCGATTCATTGTTCAAATGGACAACAACATCAATATTCATGCTGGTAATGATGCTTCCCCATCTGTTTATTGTCTGATTTTTTTTAATTCGATTGGCAGCACTTAAAGTACAAAATATCAGCTACCAGCAGAGAATCGGCGCTGCGTATTGAGACCTACATTGCAATTTATCAGCGTGTGTTTAACATATGTACGCTGTTAACAATGAGTCCTTTTCATCACAGATATATTAACGTAAGTTCCAATGGGGATCGCGTGTTAATTAAGTAGCTCTGATCGTTCTGCGATCCCGATGGAGCATCAACAGATTTCGATGGCAACAAACTCGCATCCAATGCGCAGGAACTGGGAATCTAAAGTATATTTAACGATACAGGAATGTTTGTGGGTTTCGTAACAATTTTCGTGCAATTAGCAAATTATTCCGAATGAAACCCTGCACATTGGATGCATTTCCGACACACACACGAGACATACTAAATGACAATCGTAAAACATCTTGTTAATACTAATATCTTGGACTAGTTTTTCTCTCATTACAATAGCAGGTTAAGTTTTGTTACAATCACTTTGTTATTCAGGTACAAGATCTTAATGATTTTTTGTCACTAATCTTTGATTCACTCACATAAAAGTTGATATTCAAATTATTCGACGTTTTGATAATCGAATCATAACAAAAAACGTACAGTCGCTGTAAAGTATACTCAAATCGGATCGATCAGCAATAATTCTTTAACAATTTTGTCGATGAAAAATAAGTTATATTCGACAATTCGAGTATACGATATCCAATAAATCGTTATACGAAGAATGCAAAAAAAATTGTGGTAATTACACAAATATTGGCATTGAATGAATACTAGATAAGTATGATGACTGTGCTTGGTACATTCTTCGTAAAATCATCTTCAACAATCGATCATTCAATTAAGAAAATGTAACACATACATATATATGATCAGTTCTACATTATTATCTACCTACAAGATATATATTTTTTGAATTATATATAATTACAGATACAGATTCATCTTTCTTCGCACTAAAGAAGTAATATAATTAGTTTCTCATAACTTTTTATTAACCTGACTTGAATATATTGGTCTTTGGTCAATATTTTTTCAATATATCATGTTTAATCTCTTTATCTTTAATACTGTGTAATCACTAACTTGAGAATTATTTATCATTAAATGTTCTTAAGCATTTGAAATAGAATATTCGTTGAATTATGTAATTTGCAGTGGTAACAAATTTTTAAAAACTATAAAATTTCAATTCAACAACAACTCGCATCAGTCTCATTTGCGTATATAAAAAACGTGGTATAAATAAAAACAAAAATTGGCTAAAAAGTAAACATATTTTGACTGTTAATCAGCTCCACAACGAACATTTGTCTACGTAATTTTGTTTTATTTGTTCTTGTTATTACTTACACATTGAACACATAAATACTGCAACATTACATAATCAACACATTGTATGTAACATACTTAACATTGTAGGAACTGTATTGGATATATTGCATATAGTTCTTAAAATAAAAATATAAAATTCAACGCAAAAAATATAATAAAACAAAAAACAGATCATAAGAATAGGCTGCGTTATTAACCTATGTTTTGGTCAAAAGAAAAGCAATTTTTTTGTTCCGTTTTATCCTCAAACAACCGTTCGAAATCGTTACGAATCGGCGACAATTCTCAACGTATTTTATTTTAAAGAGCTCATCGATCGTTGTTACGTTTGCTTTTCATTCTTTTTAAGTGTTTCAATATCACAGATGTTTAACTTCTTATCGCTACTGTTTCATTTATCAACGAAAATAGTCAGACTTTGCACGTTTGGATATTTGTTGGAATGTGCAAAGTATTTTTATATCACCTCTTTCAGCTTAAACTAACACATTATATACTATAAAAAACAATAATTTTTTTCCTGATAAATCGTTCATTCACGACCTGCAGAAGCGCCAAATCTGGGGCAACATTTAAGATACAGCAACGTGCGTTAATTTAACATTTTTTTAACACTACTTATAAAATTAGACACATTTATATAATATTTTAATGCAGTATTTGTATATGTTATCTAATTAAAATGTAACCGTCGATTTACTCGCTTCTACATGTACAAAAATCTCCCTATAAAACAATATTTATTTGAACGTCATTCTCGCAACCGTTTATCGAATTAAAGAGAGCAAACAAAATAAAAAAAATATTTAATTAGGTGCTCGGTTAAATAGATGTTTGAAGTTTTATTTGTAAGTTGTACTTAACTAGTGGAGGTCTGCTAAAACTAGTGGTAACAAATATTCATCCGAATCCCCGCCCGTCGGATTACGAACTACTGGGTGCAGTTTCGATCTTTTCACAGGTTTCCACGGTTTCTCCGAATAGTCGTTTGTATCCTATATAAAAACAATATAATTGAATCGTCACCCGACAAAATAGCCCAAAGATAAAACCAAAAGCAAAAATCACTCAAGATAAAACACCAAAAAGGCAAAATCCCTAAAATAAAACAGCTAAAAGACAAAATCGCCCAAGATAAAACAGCCAAATGGCAAAATCACCCAAGATAGAACAGCCAAAAGGCAAAATAGTCCAAAAATAAAACAGCAAAAAGGCAAAATCGCCCAAGATAAAACAGCCAATAGGCAAAATCGCCCAAGATAGAATAGCCAAAAGGCAAAATCACTCAAGATAGAACAGCCAAACAACAATTATTTATTAGATTTCCAGAATTTCTAAGACATTTTTTTCATGTTGTTCTATTTTATGGTAAACTATAATTTGTGATAATTCTTGTACTGTGATATGTTTTTCTCCTAAACTATTTTGTCTTTGGGCGGTTCTAACTCGGCCGATTTTATCTTTGGCCTATTTTCAAACCATCCAAAGAGTCCATCGAACTTACCAGGACTGTGAAAGTTCGCCGAGACGAACAGAGAACGTCCGATTCGGCGATTTCCATTCTCTTCAACGTATCGCCGCGCAATCGGCCGATGGCGATCAAATTCTCCTCCCAGTACTTGTACCCGAACAGGACGAACTCTTCCAAATGTTTGCACAGCCACGCCGTCAACACGAACGGGTCGGGACTCGCGTCGAACCACGGCTTCACCAACAGCCAGCTATTTTGGCTGTTGCTCAGCGAGTCCACCCATATGATGCTGCGCAACGTGTCGGCGTACGCCGACAGGTTCTCCACCACTTGCAAATTCACCTAAACGTTTTTCGATCGATTACAATCGCTTTTGTTAGTTACTCGGTACGTTACCTGTTCGCAGAAGAACACTTTGAGATGCGACAGCGGCATTTTATGCCTCAATACTGTCTCGTGGAGGTTATCTATGTCTTTGAAAGCGTGTATCACTGTCAATCGGAGCTCACAGCCTTGGTGGTTCTTGTTGAAATTGCTCCAAGCGTTGTTGGTCGTGCCTGGATGGTTCTGACGGATTTCGTGCAGGTGCACAACTAATCTTTCCAATTCCGTTGCACCGTCTAGTTTCGATAGAAATTCGTCCGATAACTGATCGTAATCTATGCTTAAAATCTACGAATACAACGGAATAAAAAAATCTAATTACACGAAGTGTTAATAAGACATACTCTTAGTTTTGTGAAGGGACTTATCAAGTTAGGATCGAAGTAGCTGCCGCCTTGCTTTACCGGAATGTCTTTTACAGATGCTAATCCTAGGTGAGTAATAGTGGAAGGATTTAAATTCTCTAAAATTTCTTCGAGCTGGATGGAAAAATCTTCGAGACAGCCGATGCTGAATTTGTGGAGTCTCGGCAAACAGGATTTCAGCAGGGATAAAATTTCTTCGTAATCTCCATTGCATCTAAAATTACAATATACTGTTTACATGTTAACTACAGTATAATTTTCCAACTAAAGTTGTTATTGAAAATTAACATCGAGATAAGAAAACTTGGCGTCATTGAGAATAAAATTAAAACAAATTAATGCGTAAAAGGAAAATACCTATTGCCATTTTGTTGTATGGGAAGTTCGAGCCTGCAATGGGTCGGTTCCAACATCAAACTCTTGATGTTGTTGTTCTTCTGCATCTCCCTCAGTAAATATATAAAATCCTCGACGCATTCCGAAGATAACGAATTTATGATTATTTTCACGTTCGTAGTGATCCTCCCGAATGTGAATATTTGGAAACGAGCCCTTTCCAAATTACATTGTTCCAGTCTGAAGGTCACGAAAGGAAACCACCTGAAATATTTCCACTGGATGTCATGTTTGGCACGAAAAGATTATTGAATTACTAATTATTCTATCTGTAAGACATACGCATGAAGTCGAATAACAAACCGAACAATAACATAATAAAGAGAATATTAAAAATGCACGTTAACAATTACAACCTGTTTAAATGTAAATGATTAAGTTAGAAATTCATTTATTCCTTTTTGAACAAAGGACAAGAATTGTTAAAGGTATCGCACCTGTCTCGATAATTATTATTTATTATAAATGAATTTTTCTTACTTTGGGTGGAAGCTGTTTTCTCTCCAATGTTTGCAAACAGCGGATGCATTTTGCCTGTCTTCTTTGCTTAGTAGATCAAAAATGTGTTGAAGCAAAAGGGATGGTAAATGTGCCCAGTAAGATGTGAATGCGATTTCTTCAGAAGTTTTGGATTTTTTCGGTTTTGAGCAATCTCCATATGTCGAACTCATTTCTAAAACAAAAACGTACGTAAATAACTCGCTTAAAAGAGAAAATTATGTCCTTATGGTAAATATTCGAATAATATGGGTAGGTAAAGTGAATGTACCAAAACTGACTCTCTTCATTTTGCAAATCGAATAAATAAAACAGAGTAACTTAAAATTTACGAAAAAAATTAGTTTTATCCAGATTTTTTTGATATAATATGGCAATAGAATCGTATACAACAAAATAAAAATTCGTTTGTCAATAAGGATTCAGCACAAACGACATCACCTTTCATCAAAGCAATTTTGACATCAAATGGCAGTTCCTTAACTAAATTGATACAGATTTCATTGTTTTTAAACACTAGCACAAAATCGACATTTTCTACGTACCTTTTAATTCTTGTAATTTTCCTTTCACCAAATTCAGCATTCAACAATTTACGCATGTACTAAATTCAGCTCAATCAGCTGATTTCGCACAAACGCAGAGAGTGCTTGTCAAAAAACGTCACCGATGTGTCAAAAATATCTGCGTTGTAAAATTGAGATCGGAGTACGTTCCGATTGCAAATCAATAAAGAAACAATTTGTTAAAATAATCTTTATTTGAGTTATAAATACGATCACAATTATTAAAATTTAGAATTATATAGTTATTTTGTACCAATAAAATCAATTATAATAATGTTACTAAATTTTTAGTAGTTTTATTAAAATCGAACGTACTTTCATTATGTCATGTTTGTTTTTTTTTTGACTTTTGACGGTCAAGTCAATGTCACTTATGCACTTAGTAGTTAAAAAAACCCTAAACTGTGGTTATGTTTTACACGGAAACAAAACTGTAAATTCTAATAATAATTCTGAATGTTCCAAATAACTAAACATTTTTCAAGATCTTTGAATTCCCGTTTTCACGCTCTTCGTATTATTCTTTATAAATATGCATTTATGTCAATATTTATAAATCAGTTTCAGTTCAATACTGAAATGACGTAAGTTAAAAAATTCCATTTTGTTATGGAATACCCTATGCAAGATTTCGATTGTGATTGTAATTGCGATCAGGAAACTACTTTTTTATTGCCGAATTCCTCCGCTAATGGAAACGAAATGGAGATACGCTCAAGAGCTAACAGGAATCCCAAGAGACGTCGAAGTATAGGCAGCATACTGTGCGGGTAAGTTTTTATTAATAAATAATGCGGATTTGTCAAATACCCAGCAAGGCTGGCTTAAATTACAAGTGTATTGGTATTTATTTTGTTTGTAAATTAATTTGACTTTCACAATTCAAAATTACCGCCTTAGATCAATGATCGTCAATGAGCTGAAGTTAGCTTCAAACACGTTACTAATAAAATCAACATGTTTTAATATTTAATTAGAAATAATCAAAAGGATAGTTACGTTTCGTTTATGCAACTGCATACTATTTAGTTTGATATAATTCTAGTAACTTATAAAATTAATAAACGGTTTACTTACATAAAACATGTTTTATAAACAGCACCAACTTCACTTTGTTTGAACAAGGAATTAGTCATGAAAGAAACAGAATATAAAGTATGATAGTGGGTGAACGAAGATAAAATATTCAAACGTCATTTCATTTTTGTCAATTTGAGGTTGATATACAATTAAAATCAATCATTGTTCATTGTGTAGTTCATTATTGCATTTTGTGGAAATGTCTTAGTGCATTTTGGCTTGAAAAGTGTGATAATTGCGTGTAATAATCGCTCGTAAGCAATGGATAACGTAGAATCTCAAAGTAACATAATAAAAACATCCAAAGAAGACATCCCACTGATAAGCAAACCACAGAGAAATTCGAACTGGGGGTAGGATTATCCATGCGATCGAAGAAATACGAGCTCAATCAAGTTTTTGTTGTTGTTACAGGTGCTGGTGTATGTTTTTCAAAAAATGCTGCGGCCCACGAGAGCTGAGATCTCGAAACATCCTGCTCGGGAAACCTACTCCGGGCCAGTTTCCTGCCAACGCCATCAGGAATCAGAAATACAACGTATTTACTTTCCTTCCGATCGTGCTTTACCAACAATTCAAATTCTTTCTCAACCTTTACTTCCTAATAATGGCTATCAGTCAATTCGTGCCTGATATTCGTATAGGCTATCTTTATACTTATTGGGGACCATTGGTAAGTGTTTATCTTAGAGTAACAAAAGAGATTATTTAAGAATTGCGTGTGTTTCAGTGTTTCGTGTTATTCGTTACGATATGTCGAGAGGCCATCGACGATTGGAGAAGGTACAAACGAGATCAAGAGGTTAACAATCAGAAATGTAAGAGATTGTTAAATGATCCAAACAATCCTTTCGAAACGGTCGCTGCACATAAACTGAGGGTGAGTTTTAAATGTAGAAATTGAGTTCTAAAAACAAGCTTATTTCTATAATTAGATAAATCTTATCGCGACAGTTGAAATTATGTTGTTTGCCATAGAATTATTCAGTATTTGTGAATAGAACTAATTATTTAACACATTCACTTAGAACGATAATCGTGATTTATATCACTGAAATATACTGCTTTATTTTAGAACAATATTTTTGTTTAAATATCAATATAAAAATATTTACATTTGTATCAAAAGATATATTTGTAGTATACAAGTTAAACATGAAATATATTTATTACAATTCATAATTCATTACTCCAAATTTCCACCTCTATTTACTAAATTTTTTGCATACGATACGAATTAATCATTTCTATTATCTTACTTTCAGGTGGGAGACTTGATAATAGTCGATAAAAATGAAAGAGTACCAGCGGATCTCGTCCTCCTTAGGACGTCCGAGAACAGCGGAGCCGTGTTCGTTAGAACGGATCAGCTGGACGGAGAGACGGATTGGAAATTGAGAACGGCCGTGCCGGCGACTCAGAAATTAGCCTCAGATTGTCAATTATTCGAAATCAATGCTAGCGTGTACGCGGAGAAGCCTCAGAAAGATATACATTCGTTTATTGGGACGTTTAGTAGGGTAATAAAATTGGCTATGTGCGCTTGATAGATGTTTTTAAAAATTGTGTGTATTTCAGTTGGATTCATCGAACACCGACGAAAGTTTAGATTTGGAAAATACATTGTGGACAAATTGCGTGATAGCCTCAGGTCAAGCTACTGGAGTTGTAATTTACACAGGTACCTACTATAAATTTATATATAACATAATAATTATATTGTGTAATATTTCAGGACCAGAAACTAGATCGGTCATGAATAATTCTGTTCCGAGATCTAAAGTGGGTTTATTGGATATCGAAGTAAACACTATTACTAAATTGCTATTTGCCGCTGTACTCGGCCTCGCTCTCATCATGATGGCCTTGAAAGGTTTCAATGGGCCTTGGTACCGATACTTGTTTAGGTTCATATTGTTATTTTCTTACATCATACCTATCAGGTAGACATTACAAAGAAATAACTAGACCTTTTTTTAATCATTTTCTTTTTAAGTTTACGTGTAAACTTGGATATGGGAAAATCATTCTACTCCTGGGCCATCGGCAAAGATCCGGCTATGAAGGGCACAGCTGTAAGATGTACAACAATTCCTGAAGAACTCGGTAGAATCTCGTATTTACTAACTGACAAAACCGGTACACTTACACAAAATTCTATGATTTTGAAACGGCTACATTTAGGCACTGTTAGTTATGCATCAGATAGTTTTGATGAGGTATTATTTGTATTCCTAATGATTAATATGATTATTAATATATTTTATTGTAGTTAAGTACAGTGTTAAGATCTTCATACAATACAGTCGATAATGTAAAACATGGATCGGATAAATTTAGAAGATCTGAAAACTCTAGAATCAAAGACGCAGTACAAGCGCTAGCTCTGTGCCACAACGTCACCCCTATGTGCGAAGGAAACGATAAAAAAGATACAGGTAAGATACTTCAAATACATCTACTTAACGCGTTAATTTCGATTTATTTTGCGTGTAGATTCCGGTTCTTTCGGTTCAGAAACCGAAGCCGATCAACACCTTCAAATACCGGACAACAGCGTTACTTACCAGGCTTCCAGTCCCGACGAAGTGGCCCTCGTGCTGTGGACCCATCAAGTCGGCTTGACATTGAGTCACAGAGATCTCAATTCCATGCAACTCAGAACCCCCGACAGTCGATTGATGAATTACACCATCTTACAAATCTTCCCGTTCACCAGCGAAACTAAGCGAATGGGTATTATAGTGAAGGTAACAAGCTCGAACACGTTTTGTATGTAATAGTTTTAATACGAGTTACTTGCAGGATTTGTATACCGGCGAAATAATATTTTATTTGAAAGGAGCCGACGTGGTAATGTCCGCTATAGTGCAATATACGGATTGGCTGGACGAGGAGGTGGGCAATATGGCGAGGGACGGTCTGCGGACGTTAGTCGTGGCCAAAAAGAACCTCACCGAAGAGCAGTATCTCGATTTCGAGGCCCGATACAACGCCGCCCGGCTGTCCACCACCGATCGAGTGGCCCGCGTAGCGCAAGTAGTGGAATCCTTGGAAAGGGAAATGGAGCTGCTGTGCATCACTGGCGTCGAAGATAAATTACAGGACAACGTGAGAGCCACTCTGGAGTTACTCAGAAACGCCGGCATAAAAATATGGATGTTGACGGGCGATAAATTGGAAACTGCGACTTGTATCGCCAAAAGTTCGAGTCTAGTTTCGCGGACGCAAGGTAAGCGATAGCGATAGATTCGATATATCGACTATAATCGGTGATATTTTCGCAGGTCTTCACGTCCTGAAGAAGGTCGTTACCCGTACCGACGCCCATTTGGAACTGAACGCCTACAGGAGGAAGCAAGACTGCGCTTTGGTCATCAGCGGCGAGAGTTTGGAAGTTTGCCTGTCCTATTACCAGCCGGAGTTTATGGAATTGGCCACGGCCGCTCCTGCCGTCGTGTGCTGTCGTTGTTCGCCTACTCAAAAAGCCCAAGTTGTAAGTAACCAGCACGATGAATTACTATTTTTTCGCATCGTACACAAATAAGTGGGACTTTAAGGTGCGTTCGATGATACATAAACAAAAACTGACAAAATTGACGTTAATGACATTTCGTATGACAAGTTTAATAGAGGTGGGAATCAATTTTTTGGTATAGAGGTGCAGTAACGATTGTTACAAAATAACCGTTGTTTTTCAAAATGGCTTCGGATACAACTTTTTGTTGACTTTTATACATTTTTTCAGGTTCAATTGATTCAAAAACACACGGGTAAGCGAACAGCGGCCGTCGGAGATGGCGGTAACGATGTGAGTATGATCCAACAAGCGGACGCTGGAATCGGTATAGAAGGCAGGGAAGGTAAACAGGCGAGTCTGGCGGGCGATTTCAGCATACCGCAGTTTGCCAATTTGTCGAGGCTCCTGCTGGTGCACGGCAGGAAATCGTACAAGAGGTCTGCGTCGCTGGCGCAGTTTGTGATACACAGAGGACTGATCATTTCTACTATGCAAGCGGTGTTTAGTAGCGTGTTTTATTTGAGTTCTGTGGCGCTCTACCAGGGTTTCCTGATGGTCGGTTACGCTACTGTTTATACAATGTTTCCGGTATGTTAACTTCACTTTATTGTAGCGAATTCGATTTAATCTGTTACTTTTCAGGTATTCAGTTTAGTACTTGATCAGGACGTCAGCGCGGAGATAGCGCTTACCTATCCGGAACTTTATAAAGAACTTGCGAAAGGGCGAAGTTTGTCGTTTAAAACGTTCTTCATGTGGGTTTTAATAAGCATTTATCAAGGTAATAATTTATACTCCACACATTCGATGTGTTATTAACAATAATTATTGCAGGAGGAGTTATTATGTATGGTGCTTTGTTACTCTTCGAGGATGAATTCATTCACATAGTCGCTATTAGTTTTACTTCACTTATACTAACAGAATTAATAATGGTCGCCTTGAATATTAGAACATGGCATTATCTTATGGTATTAGCGGAGTTGTTCTCGTTAGGATTGTACGCGTTATCTTTAATCATACTTCACGATTACTTCGGTAAGTTTATTAATACTTATTTAATACAATTGAAATAATTTTGGGGTTTTTTACAGATTCCGATTTTATAAGAACGAAGGATTTCTTCTGGAAAGTGGTGGTCATCACGCTGATATCATGTTTGCCGCTGTACATTTTGAAATTTTTGAGGAAGAAATTTTCACCTCCGAGTTACAGCAAACTCTCTTAGAGAAGAGAAATGTGATATACGCATGCGCACCCACCCTTGCATTTAGTCGCCCGAGTAAAACAAAATGTGATTGGCTTTCTCGCGCGAAAGGAAATTAATACAGTTTGTGATTAATCTGCAACATAATAATTTTCCGTTTGTGTAAACTCACAGCGTCTCAAAAGTGTTGTGGTTAAGCGAAATTGGCTGCGATGAACGACTCGACGTTTGAATGAGAAGGCTCAATTAATAAGGGAAATTATATTTTTATAGTATTTTAAGAATTTGAAGTTCTCGTTCTGTTCGTGGTAGTTTTAAGATCAACTTTAATCATTTCGACCGCTCGTATTTTGAAATATCGATCACTGCTTTGTATTAATATTAATTGCACTAAAATAATCTTGTATACTTTATTAGACGACTTGCATTTTGAGACATGTGAGGATTATTTATCGACGATTTATTTTCAATTTTATTCACGAAAGATACAATAATTATTTATAATCCTATTTGCCGAAAAATTATATAACAGTAGATATATTACAACGCTACTACTAGAACATTATAACAATTTAACTGTGTTGTTGTTTTCTACAGTTTATTAATTTATTGAATATATGTTTATTACAAATACATTGTTGAATTTAATTTATTTTGAAGCCTCATTTGGGTAAGAACCAGCCATGCAGACATTTAGGTACCGGAGTTTCGGTATGAAATTCCGCTCTGCCTATTTCTTTAAACGTTTGTGCGTCTAAAATGAGCAACCCTACGTGATTGGTGTCTTCACCGCCCCAAACTAATGCCGATAATATTACCCCATCATCTTCTGTCTGTATTAATAAAACCGAGAATATGCTATGTATAAATAAGAGTGGATAACTTACCTGTGATTCTGGAGCTGGTACAAATATTGGTTCGCTCGGGTAGCAGTTTTTTTCGTTCCAAATTAGTGTAGATTTATCACTTGTGTCGACTTTAATAAGCTAAATAAGTTAGAAAATTAAGTACAAATATTATTTTAGAGGAAATAATCGTGGGCTTACCGTTCCCGGGTTTTCCGCGTCGACATCAGCACTTATCGCATAAAAATACCTATACGGCTTACCTAAAATTGTGTATAAGATTTTCTATTGAACTCGACTAATTTTCACAAGTTTACCTAAATACTTGTCGTAATTAATCCTGGGCGTTTCGCATCCGATATTGCACAATTTCACCGGTTGCACCAGCACCTCTCCATTTGGAAGATAACGAGCTTTCGCATTCGTACCTTCCAGGTCTATTAAATTTCCCTTAGTGCAGCTGGGCGGAGGATTCAACGGCAAAACGAACCTCGCCGGTCGACTCCTGAACATTTTCGCGTAATTGAGATTCTGCTGCATCGACTGCAAAAGATTTTTCGTGCAATAATTGCAGCGGTTTCGAGCGCCAGTACCTTCATGGTTTCGATGTACATGCAATCCAACATGTTGGGATCTTGGTACACGCAAATATCGAGGACTATGTGATTGTCGAGCTCGTATTGGTTGATAACGTGTAAGTAGAAGAATGATTCAGCGTAAAATGTTTTGTATAATTTCCCTGTGTTTCTGGAAACGACGGAAATTCTTGTCTAAAAATCGGAATTATTGTTGTATTCGTTGCAAAATTAATTGCCAATCTTACATATTCCTCGTGATACCACCTGAAGCAACCAGCCAATGGTTCGTTTTTGAATTTCGATTTAACAATTCCAGGTACAGAAATACTCAAAGGTTGCTCTATTATGATGTAAAAATTGTCAGTTATCCCTATACAAGAATTAGTAACTGTTAACTCTAATCTTATTGTTATAATACTTGAATATTTACCAAAACTATGCATGTAGGAAGGATTTAATTTCCATCGAGCTGGAATAGAAGCTACAATCTCAGCGTTTCTAAACATCGCTTTCGAATCCTCGTTTTCTTTTTTAGGGAACTTAATGATCGTGTGATATAAACCAGTAGGATACACCGACAATCCTAAATTGTAAACTGTACCTAAAATTTAAAACATCCTTAAAGGATCCTAAAGAAGGATGTTTAAATTATTACCGTCACGTAGAACATGAGGGTGGGATGAATGACAAACCACCGAGACGTACTCGTCGATTTTTATCCTGCATTTCGTTTCCAACGTTTCGGGATTTATTTCGTGGATGATGGGGATTTCGTTGAAAGCGTACAATTCGTCGCCGAAAGGGTAAACTGAGATCATGGCGTTATCGGAAGCTTCACTGCTAAAAATTGCAGCTATTCTATAAGAAGATAATGTTAACAAGCAAACGAGATTGGTGAGTTATTGAGGCACCTTTTGAATATAGAATGACAAGGATCTTCAACCACCTTTGTACCAAACTCTGCCATCACGATTCGTTTAGCAGTCCAGTTTTTTCGGAAAACTTCAGAATCCAAGAATCTACATTGATAAGTTACTTCTTCGTCTTTGATTTCAAACCTACAGTATTTAATAATTAATATATTCTAGACCTATCATAGGATGAAATTTTAGGTGCAAGAAAGGTGAAAAAGTTACTAAAAACAACCTGTGTAAAAGCGCGGAGCTATCGAACAGATGAGTAAACTCCTCTTCACCCACTTTCAACGATCCAGGCCCGTTTCTAATCAACGAGCCTTTTAACCACTCAGGAACAACTCCTACGAAAAATTCGGCTATTACTATTTAATAAACCTTCTTTAAACTACCTTTAATCGATCCTTTCAAAGGAGTCGTTACCTCCTTTTCGCAGGACCTCAGCCAAATGCTGACATCGCAATTTGGGTATAAATCGCGCTCCTGCTCGCAGGATAGCTGGAATATCAATCAACACGTAGCATTTCCTCGAAAATTACATCTTCACTTACCTTCGTTTTGCTATTTTTAATGAAACCCAATTGTCTTCGAGGTGGAAGAGGCGACCCCGAGAACACGGGGCTGCAGCCCCTCGAAGAGAAATCTTCTTCCACTTTATCCATCGGGAAATACACCTAACGCGACTGAAGATGCGATGAACAATGTTTTTCTACAAGTTTTATAATCTAATTACGACGTTGGAATAATTCTGCTCAAGGCCGTATTTATTATGATAATATCAGCTTTATTGATTTTCCGACTAGAGGGAAACAAAATTAATTCAGGTAATGTATCGAGTTAGAATATAAATAAGGGTAGGTAAGTGCAAATTTGGTCAATCCTACGAGTTGAACAAAGAAAGATTAATATAACAGTGATAAGATTTACAAATTTGCATACTACCATGCATACGACTATGATAAATTACTATTTTTTCGTAGTGTACTCAAATAAGCGGGATTTTAAGATGATAAAAGAAAGCTGTCAAAAATGACGCTAATGACATTTCGTATGACGCAAGTTTAATAGAGGTGGGAATCGAGTTTTTGGTAGAGAGGTGCAGTAACGACTGTGATAAAATAAGCGTTTTTTTTTTAAATATCGTGATTAGCCTATATTGCAAACCTACCTGTATAACAACCTGGTAATAGTCTTGTTTTAACCCAAACGAATGAATATAAAAAATATTAACTACTACGCCTTTATTAATTAAAAATACAATGTTAACTCAATTTACTTAAAAAATAACTGCAGTACAATATGAAAAACTATTAAACTTAATTTACACTTTCTGTTAATTAGGAAGCAATTTTTACATATTTCCAAAAAAAATCTCGATATTCAAAAACCTACCAAACTCTAAAATAAAGGACCTTATTTACAACAAAAAAAAATAACTGGTATATAAATAATTTCTCATCACATTTTGTCAAATGCCGATTCATTCTTCGTAAATTTAAGTAGTCGAAAAAATTCCAAAAAAAAAATTGTTTAGTTAAAGGAAGAAACCGCCCGTCAATTTCTTCCTCTGACTAGGTTTAGGGTGAAAAAAAAAATGCATCATAAAACAGATACGAAGTCAGTTTCGCGGCGCCACAAAACCACAATTTGTTCGACAAAATTGATCTCGCATCGTCCCAGCGACCCAACAATCGCCAAGTTAACTGGCCCACAATGAAAAAAAAACCTACCCCGAAACTGACATCGCCTCCACGAAACCGCCCCTTACGATTCGGCCAGCACGGGAATGGCCGTCGTGTAAACCGGCGTCTCCAATTCGATCCTCGCCGTCGTCTTCAGCCCCAGCTGGTTCTTGATGTGGCTGATGATGTCCTGATCGGCCGGGCAGCTCTGGATGAACGCCTCCAGCTCATACATGTTCGCCATGTAATTCCACAGGTGCGTGAACGTCGTCGGTATTTCGAATTTTCGGAAGGCCTTCGCCCCGATGCGGATGTGCTGCAGCCTGCGAAACTCATCGTTAATCCCTACCGTTTTTTATCGATAAAAATGAGCGCATTACCGGGGCATTAGTTCGCAATCGAAGCACGACATGGTGTCCCCCGTGAGGAATCTCGTCGCTCGCTTGCCTAAAAAGTCGTTGATCCTTTCGAGATGCGAGAGTAATGGCTGTTGGCTTTCTTTCGTGTCGGGGGACTCGAATTTTCTGACGTACATTTTGAATTTCGTGTACAGGTTTTCTATTAGCGTCGCTACTTCTTTATCCTGGAATGATTAATAGTGCTTTTTGAACTATTTTTGCTTCAATTTGAAGCGATATTATTATTTACATTTCCCTTGAAATTACAACTACAAACCACATTAATTATAAAAATAACGAATCAAAAGTAATTCAAGGATCTTTGAGGTTTTCATATTAAATGGATGTTTAGTATTAATTCTAAATTTTTATCCCAATCGATTAAAACACAATTACAACCTCCTTATAGCTAATTAATTTTTATTGCTCATTAATCCATATTTACAAACAAATTCACCCGGTTTCTAGATAATTAAACCGAACGTTCCGTTACAATTTCCTTTAAAAAAACGAGAGTAATTACAAACTACAGTTTTCTGTCCCATGATATAAATTTCGCATCGACTGCGATCTCGTAACGCGGTGAGAAATAATAAGTCTTCGTAACGAAACAATGAGGATAGTTCTTAGCGATCATCAACACTTTCACTTTCGCGGATAAAGTCGCAAGATAGATAAAATAAAAATAAGCGGAATGACACAAAGTTCATTGGCGTGCGATTTACCGCGAGGATCAGTCAAAAGGTCGGGATCTCGAGTTGACATTTGCGAAGAATGCGCTTCATTCTTCGTTGATGCAACAATTTCTAAATTGCAGGCGTTGCTAATTATACGTCGAAGAGAACCAATTAATTTTGCTATCGTTAAATGCTTATAATTACATCTCCACAGATCTCTTTTGGTGCGTTTTAACATTTTTTTTTCGGGTTATCAACTCGTTTTTTGTTTGATCGCGAGTTAATTCATGCAAGTAGGATAGTGTGTAATTAACGAGTTGTTTATTGTAATAATAAATTAAAAAACAAACAGATAATTAATGTTGGGAATGCTCGTTTGTATAAAACTATAAATCTAACTATGGAAAATACGTCTATAATCAGGACATAAGTGATATAAGTGTAGTAAATCTGTTAAAATAATTGCATGGAATAAGGTTTCTACAGGATGTACCAATTCATTGATAAATGACAGTGTATCTTAAGTAATTTATAAGATGGGACCCTCTGTATATTCTTAAATATCCAGGAGGAGATAAAGAATTTACAGTAGCTTAAGTCAATAAAAAAGAGTATTTGTATGAAATGAGGTTTAAACAGGATGTACCAATCGGTTGATGATCAACAGTTTCGTAGTCTTTTTTTAGATGGGACACAACTGTACATTCTTACATTTAAAAATCACTGTGGTTTATGAATAATCAATTAATAAATAAAATTAAACGTTTGATTGTACCTGTACGAAGAGATTGTGTCCGCCGGGGACGCTCTTCATGATGTGCCTTTCGATTTTTTCGTTTTCCAAAATGGCCATGCCCCTGTCTATGAGGATGGGGGGCGGCGTCGCCTCGAAATTCGTGCGGAAATCGGGCGGCGGTTTTTGCATGTCGACGGTGGTGACCTTGAGGCTGATGGTTTTCAGTTCGGCGAGAAGGTACAGCTCCATGAAGTACTCCTGGCAGAAGAGGCAGGCCCCCTTGCGCCTGCCGTCTATGGTGGAAGCCTGGAGAGGCGGAAAAATTAAATTCGTTATAGTTTTTTTCGTTCGGAATTAATTTGCATTGTCGAGCGCATTTTACGAGGTCGGTATTTATTTTACGTACGTGCGAAATTGTCGCTCGTTTAAAATTACCGAACGTTTCGTATTACGGATATAAAAAATATCAGCTGCTGGTGATTCCGTGTTTAGGTTTTCCGAAATCGTGAAAGTCGAAACAATTTCGCGAATTAAAATTTGACCTGGGTAGTGTATAAACTACAAGTGTAACAAAAATACACATAATTCGTCGATATGCATGCCAGACACGTTTCAATGCATGTACTTAGTTTAGTTTGTACAAAAAAAATAACGAGAAGAAAGTGGGTAGTCGCTAGTTAACTACATAATTCTACAGATCTACATTCTGTAATTTTTTTGAACTTGCCAAGAATGTGTGTAACGGTTTCGTACGCTACTATCTAATCACAGAGTTACTCGTTTATCAGCAGAGAGGAGATATATTTTCCACTAGGCATATTAATTCTTTCGATAAGAATACACTTACTATTCAAAGTTTATTTAATTCTACTACTAATACTAAAATTTATAAATAAATCACACCAATTAACTCTTCGAAATATCTAAAAAAATAATGACTATAATTACATAAACTTTTTGTACCACGAAAAGTTTAATTAAGCGCATCGAAGGAGCATACTTTTGATGAAGAAATTATGTATTACAACTATTTCAGGCTGAAAATGTAACTGTCAATGCGCTTTACAATGGCTATTATTATTATACCATCATCGCCATCGTGCGACCGTTATTTCGAGTATCCGATATAAAAATGTGGCCATTTCCACTCTTTTGTTACATCGTTTTACAGTTTACGGTTTTGTATTCATTTTGTAAACGAATTATAATGATTGAATTGGGCTTTGTGGGCAGGCATATAATTTACCACATGTCTTTAACAAAATAATTCTAGAATAATGCTGAAAAAAATCCATCACACATGTGTTTACACATTACTAACCCAGTGGATATTCCAAGTAGCGATAGATAAAAAAATCCCGCAATATTAGCTAATGGTTAACACCGACACTCCTTTGAAAGTGCGCAATTTAAAACTACGAATATTTCTTTCATCTCGGCCAGACTATTGACCCCGCTCGCGCTGCTGTTATTCCATGTCATTTTTCATTCCGCCTTTTTTTTATTTTTTTATGTCATCTAAGAATGTGCACTGAATTTCACTCCGCCAGAAGCAAGGTCGATTTTCTGGGAGGAGAAACTTTTACTTTTGGATTTTTTACAGGCTATATTTATAGCGCGGTTTTGAAGACACATTTTTCGTTTAACAACTCGATTAAAGTTGAATATTCCGAGACACGCGAGTTTCTTCCACAACCGAATATTATTTTTTTCAATCGAGAAAATAATACAACAACGGGCATGTTAATTATATCGATTATATAAGAACAACGTTGCGTCAGAGTTGAGAATAAGATGTTGGTTTTATTACTCATAATCCACCATAAAACGTGTGGTTATGATTCATATATGCACTTGGGGATTCATTCTATACTGGAAATTTAAGCATAAATTTAATGCATATAGGAAAAGTAAGTGATTATAGTTAGCTCATTAACTTTCAAAGTTTTTGTTATCAGGATGCTCAAAATTAATGTCAAAATCCTTGCACTTTAAACAGAGCGTTTTCATCAATTCTTTAATCTACAAACAATTTTTATTTCTCACAACAAAGGCGTCGAACAGTTAAAATCCATTACTGAAAGTTAAAAGAAAACAATAAGAATCGGTGTTAACAGCGTTGCATTGGAAAACAATCAGGACGGAAAATAATTAACCGGGTAAATAGCTTCATTGATACGACTGTTTGTAAAGTTACACGTAAACAATTTCACTTCTCTAAGGTATCGTTAAAGTGTTTGTTAAGTAAAATTGAGGCATTTTCCTATGAAATAGGCAGTGTAATTCCACGAAGCGCCACTGATAATAATAATCGTCACTGCACGAATAAAATTACTCGAATCGTTCTCGATGCTATTCCGATCGAAATTGGAAAAGAAACTTTCGCAATCGAAGTGCCCGTGTAAGGATATCGTTGCGGGAAAGTAAAAAATCGTCGCGTGTTTTAACGACCGTGGCTAAAATAAATCTCGATGGTGTCCGTAAACAGGAACAAAACCGTATTTAACCGGTACAATGGTGTGCCGGAAATTTTATTAATGAACTCGATAGACGGGGCCAAAATATTCGGAGGGTTTCATGCAAATCTAACGTTTGCTAATGGATATAAATCAAGTTTGTGTATAAGAGAGTAGGCAATATTTGTTTTGGAATTAGCTCGTTTGATTTAATTTCCACTCAATCAATATGCGGATTCAATTAAGACCGCGGCTATGACCTCATCTCCTATTAAATATATACAAAAAAAATTAAAATTTTCAGGAGTCCAATTCAACCTTCAGCTCGACATGCCGATAAGTGCGTATCCCACATCCTATATTTTCGTGTAACGTTCTATTATTAAATCAACGGTATAATAATAACGAGTTTACCATATCTTTAAAAGGATTTAGAAAATCATAACTAAACATTTTCGTGTGTAATGGTTAAAATTAGAATCGAAGCAATAAATCCAGCTGATTTCCAATCTCGCATTGTTATCGATAAGATCATTTCTGTGTAACTGAAAAAAATATCGAGATAAAAGATAATAACTGGCAAGGAGAAAATTAACGCGTTTCGTGCGATTATCTCTTTAGAAACGAAAAATTATCCAATTAAGATAAGAAGTTAGTTAGTTTACCCAATGGAGTTACAAGAAATATTTTTTATACAATACAATTTGTCATACCTAAATAAATTTTGGAGTCACTAGAAACGAGATTAATTTAATCATTATCAACTAGATAAATAAATACAGGATTATAGTGATAAAATATGCGTAAATTGTCAGTCAATTAATCCTGCAAGTTCTCACTAAGCAACATTATCTTCAACTAATATAATCTTCTATCAGGATAGTACTATAATTAGAATCGATCCCAATAAAATACTCTAATTGATGCATGGAATCGAGAATTCTAAAATTTCGATGTGTCTCACGCCCACAATTACCGGCGATTATTCTTCTAGACTGGTCTATTGAGTCACAACTACGGGAGTTCAAAATGCCGAGACTCCGTATAAAAGCGGTCGACCGTGACATACAATAAATAGAAATAAATTTTAATAAAGAAATGTTCCTTTTAGGCGTACCGAGGTTCGATAAAGTACGACGTTAATCTGCGAACGATGATGTAAAACCAAGCACTTATACGGTATTAAAAATTAGTCGAGAGCTTAGCAGGAATATGCCACACTTGTTAGGGTTTTCTGTTACGTGAAATTGTAGGTATTTGTGGATTTTAAGTGTATGGATGTAGAGGAAATAATTTAAATTGCGGGTACTTAGGAGGAAATTTGCGAAATCGAGAGATTTACATAACATATTTACTTATAAATTTTTGAGTAATACTTTTTTTTGTCAAATGAAGTTAATCTGGAGCTTAGGTAACAGATGATTAATTCCGCGTTTAATTTTCATTAAAAAATTCACTGTATAATTCCTATTATGTAAAAAAACTATTTGGGAACTTTCACTAATTTTTTGACCGTTAAAAGTATTATGGCGAAAATAAATCGACCGAAAACCAGATAATATTTTTACTTGATTAGAAATGTAAATTCCCCATATTATCATTGTTAAATTTCCAGCACTAATTCCACTCGATTAAAAGTTCCTGCATTAAATCTACCTATTAGTTTCCACTTTTGTACTTAAAAAAGTACATGTAATTTAAAACAATTTAAATGTTTTTTTTTATTGTTCCGTGTGTTCTCTTTTTTATGTTTTTAATAACAATTTAGGAAATTTAATGGTGTACCGATAGTACTGAATAATTATTTTTAATCTGTTAATTGCTTATTCCTGTTGATCCACAATTTCCTCTAATATGGAATTAATTAAATTTAAGCAACAAATATAATAAGAGAATATTTAGAGTCATTATGAACAAACTGGAAATTTAGTAGCAACGGCTCTATACAGGTAAATGTATTAAGAATAATTTGGAGTAATTAATATTTCTCAAATAAAAAATAAAATCTACTCAAGTAGTTACCCAAATTACAATAACACAAGGACTTGTGAATTAATTTTAACGTTTCCGAAGGTACTGGAAACTTTCGAATAGTTGTAGAAGGTATATCAATAACAAACCTACCTTACCGGGTGATTAATTCTATTGGGAAGACAATATGTTAGTTCGTGCATTACTTAATGTATGTAAATTAAATTATTAATAGCAATTCCTTGGCGTTTTACGCACATCAGGTACACTGAACTAATGGGTAGGCGTTGGTAATAAAATATGGTTATATAATTAACAAACTTTTAAAACTCGATACCCAATTTCGATGTAATATTAGCAATTAGTAGGTAAACAAACTTCAAGGTCAAACAAAATGCACTTATGTAAAAAAAACTTGTTTTTTTACAACGTTTGTTTCCAGACGAAAACTACAAAGTTAGCAGTTAACAGGCAAGTTAATTTTATCGAAATATCCTTTCTTCGACATTTAGCCGGACACCAGCGGGTACGGCTGTAGGAGTACTATTACAGATGTGGATTTGAAGAAGTACAGAAGGCACACCCAAAGGTAATACAACGTGATAACTTACCCTGATAATTAGCTCGATTTCGGGTACGTCTCCGTTCTCCGCATGTCCGTTTTGTTCGACGGCATCAGCCATTGCGGAATTATTTTTAACCGGGAAAGGCACTAGAGTTGTAGGTTGAAAGAATGCGCGACGCACTCACGCAAATCCAAATTTTAACTGATTTTAATCTCATTCATGATTCAGTTGGCAGTTGGTGTAAGTTTTGCGCGACGGTGCCACGTTGTTTTAAATTTCGAAGAATTATTGTATGGTAGCTGTCAAATGTCAAAATAGCTCGTGTATTTTTGTAGAAAAATTTAGCTAGTTTTAATTTTACGCGAAACGTGGCAAGACTGTATGATTAAGTTGACAGGTGGGAGTGATGTTTCTACCTCACAAGAGATGGCGACAGGGTATTTTTTATTAAATTAATTATTAAAGAATATTGAGGAGTAAATGGAAATTCCAATTAGTTAAATTATTTAACTTGTCATTATTATAATGAAGTAGTAAATTATACTTTCTGTCATCTATTATTATCGGTATTAATAAGTAGAATATCTTTATGTAAATTGCTATGTTTTGGTAGAGATGGCGCTAGTTGTTTCAAAATTTGACAATTAAAGGCGACTTGTAATTTTTTTAGTGCAAATTTTTAAAAGTATGAAACGTTTTAAAAAATTAGTGAACAAAATTAATTTAATGATGAGGTAATATGTTTGTCTATTTTCTATTTTTGTAAATAATTTTGGTTTGTGTAGATGAACACATATTTTAAAATTGTCAAAAGTATGTCAAAAAAATGTCATTTTCTCGAAATTCTGTCAAATATAAAGTACTTCTGTATCTTCAAAACCTAAAAACTAGAAAAATAAAAAATGTTTGATTGAACTTCATACATCTACTTTTACCGTCTTTATTCTTTACATTTATTTGAAAAAAATCTTCAAAAACACAGTTTTTGCGGTTTTCGTGGGCACCAGCTGTGTTGTTTATAAAATAGGCATAAACGGAGAACTTTCGTATATCTATTTTGAGATTCAATAGTCTAAACACGTTTCCTTTTCATACATATTGACAGGCAAAGCCCTTTCTTGTATCGATGAAATTTGGATTCTATTTGTGTAAAACATCGAAATCTGGATAGCCGTGGGGATTCGCAGTTTTGGATACAAAACGAGCAAGCATTACACGTCGAATTGTCGTCTCATGAAACCGAAAGTCGAAACCGACAGCGCACATACGAAATCTGGATAAAGATGGCTTTTCCAAACTTTTAATCATCTCGATAACACCTGACTCGAGTTAGATGTTTTCCGGGCGCACTCGTTTTATTTGCCAAATTTCCGTTGTCAGTCGGAATCAAGGGGGGCTCGGCTACTCGCCCTGACAACTAGTTAGTTACAGCGGTTGGATTTCAGGGTCCTGGGGGATTGCGTGCTCGCGAAACTTTTACGCCCGCTATCCTAGTGCAGGATACCTGTCTCTCCTGCTTAACCTCTATCCTCCCGAAAGGACACGTATTGTGGCGACGCGGACTATGAGCCTTCGCATTTTCACTTATCGTTTTTAGTGGAATTACTAGAATCGGAATCGAAGCCGCTTCGACTAATTTCAGTTTCGCCCGCTTCGGGGCAAATCCAGATTTATAACGACCTGGCTGGAAGTTTTCGATATTTACTTTAGCGAACGGGCGCAAATGGAACTTGATGAATGAAAATCCCTGTGACGTTTCACGGCAATAATTCAAATCAATCAATCCTGCGCTGTCAATTCGGGACTGAAAAGAGTGCCGGGGGACGGGGTTTTTGCGAAAGTTCCAATTGTCACGAACCGGGATTTTCGGATTTGAGCTTTTAATAAATTATGGCTTTTTACTTCTTTGTTTTCTTTGTATCAAACGGCAAATTGTCGTTGCTAGACTTTGGAAAATTCGAGTATTTTTATATTAAAGTTTTCATGTAGTTGGTAAAAGTAATCTTAAAGTTGAATTAAAATCGAAAAAAGACACATACCCAGCTCAAATAAATAGATTTAAATCCCATTTATTTACAAACTGCACTTTAAACGAACGTTAGCAACGAAAAATACCCCAAAGTTTCTGAAGGTCTCTAAATTAAAGCGCATAAGACTGCTATCTATTTATCCCATAGTGCTGCAACGATAACCGTAATGAGGGAAAACCCGGGAAAACGGTGTTTCCGTTTCTTTCGCATTCATCAAATAGATAGCGTCAGGTAATGGAAAAATTCGCCCGATACCATCTATTGGATTCGATTCTTTTTAAATCGGGGCACACGATAGAACCCGCCCTCTACGCCTTTTCTTTTATTTATTGCTCTATTCGTGGCAATCGGGACGTGTGCTAGCCCACAAAAAAAGAATGGAGATTCCATTATTCCGGAGAACACAATAACTAAATAAATAAATAATCGCGAGGTTCCTAAATGTTGATTCCAAGTAGTGCGAAGGAAGTATACGTTAGAATTACACATGAAATATAGCTATCCCTACTGGATGAGCTTCAAGTTTTACGACACCACAATACACGTGGCAATTTAAAAAGCTCCGAAACGAGTACAAAAAAGCGAATACAAGAAACAAAAGCCCCGTCTACTTCCGCGCAAAGTATAATGAATATAGTTGCAATCCCCTTTGTTTCTCGGGGGTAATCCCTTCAAGTGAGACCTGCTGTAGTGGCGACGGGGCGAACGAGCGGAAAACCCACACACACGACTCCCAACTTCTTCCAACTCCGCGAGAAGGATCAAAACTTCTCGCCTCATTTTATCCATTCTAATCAACTTTCGCCACAGTCGACATGAATATTTCACACATGCGAACGCCAGCGGCGCCTTCTCCGCCGGAAAAACAAAGAAAAACACTCGTGCGAAAGATTGTTCGGGAAAAATTAGAGGCGCTCTCCTTTGAGCTTGCCACGGTGGAGAAATTTAATTTCGCGGCATTGAAGGATCTTCTGCTGCGCTTGTCTCGAGCGGATAAATTTTTGTTTACGCGTTACAGGAAATTTCGTATATTCGCTGGGAAATTTATCGTTATTTAGGGGGGTGTTTGCGGCGACGCTACTGCACGGTAAACCTCGAAATACCATTACCGACATTTGTTTATGTTGATGGGAATTTTGAGTAGAATGGCTCTATGAATCACGTGCGCGAAAAAGCGGATACGAACATGCCATATTTCTCCATTTTTGTGATACACGATTTTTCTAAAGTCATATGATAGGATGTGTCGCCATGAAAAATACCATCCTTAATATTTATGTAAGTGTCCATTATATACTTGGAGGTGATATTTGTAGTTATTGTTATTTCTATTCGCCTTAATAAATTGTTTATTGTGCAAACATAACCCGCCCTTTGGTGTAATTAGTAAGCAGTTAATCAGATAATTTAAGGTTGAAGGTGGGAAGGGCGAGACAATCCGAACTCGAGCAGAATTCGCATAACGCGAAAATCGAGATTTTATCGAGTTAATCAACTAGAACTGGTCCTTTAACCTCTGCGGAAGCGAAATTTAATGAAACCCTCAGTCCGAAGGTATTCAATTCGAGTCCTAATTGTACAACAATATCCACTCAAAAGCTATTATATTCCCGAGGAGAGACGGTCGTAAATTTCGCTTTGCCAGGCCGCAGAATGTTCTTGAGAACTAGTCGGTGTTGCTTTTGGGGGCAGAAAGGGCCCAAACTAAGACAACATCCGTTCCATTTATCGCGGTATGTACACACCAAGTGTTCCTAACAAATGTTACTTGCCTTCCCGAACCAGCGAACTGTGATTTATGGCGAAATGAACGTGTCTTGCTTCAGGAATTTATTTCAAAGTTATAGTGTGTTCCACGAAGCATTATTTCCATATTTCTCCTTAAATTTTAATTGTTCCACCACATATACAATGATGGATGGAATCAATTAGAAAACAAACACAAGCCCCTTTTGTGGCGATGTCAACTTAAAAAATCGCCCGGATTCCTAATCGAATTTGTACACACATTCGCCGCTCTTGAAAAAGCCTTTTAAATCTAATTTTGATATGGGCCACGTACGCACTCACGTCTACATCAAACCGAACAGATCGGCCTTCGGATGACTGCTTGTCCATCGGGCGCAGGCCGCATTTGTCACCCTAAAATTGAGCTTTCATCTGCATATCATTTCTAAATGAACCGGAATATAATATAGTACGAGCGAGATAGCCGTTCTAATCACGAAAGTAGTCGTATAGATATGTCTGCCACTAGCAAAATAACCCCGAACCCACCCCCTTACCGTCCCACCACCGGCTCCCGTCTGTCATGCCAATGAACGATTGCTCTGAATGAGTCAGATTATGTATGATTTAATTAACTTGATTCGCCGTCCGGATGCATTACCATCCATGATAGCTGATGGAGGAGCTTTTGCCACTTCGAAAATTAGAAAAAAAAACTGACAATAGAAGGCAATTAGCGAAAGAAACTTCCATCACGAGACACCACTGGAGGATACGCTCGTGCCGAGAAGTTTGTAAACTAGTAAGTCGCTAGTTAGAGTTACCCCTTTTCATTTGCATCTGGGAGTTTTCGTTTAACCGTGCGAGCTGCTTGATGGATGATGGCCTTGAGGACTGTTTGTAAAGTACCTAAAGACGTTTAAGGTTTGCGTACACCTTCAAGTTATTAGGAGATTTACTGCCATTGAAATGAGGCAAAATACAGTCGAGTACACCTACATATTTGTATCGCCACATTAGTTAATAGATCCTTCATATTCTTCCTATACTCTTCCTATTCCATACTCTTTCCAAATATTTGATTTTGTTAAGTATTAATAATTCAAATTATTATGACACACACGATCTTTAATTGAAATATTCCTGTATTTTTTTCTCTTGGTGTACATTGAAGAGTCGCCTCTGGTTTAGCCTGTAGCTCGCGTTTTCCCAACGGTAATATGTATGAGATTGTATTAATTTGTTTTCGCACGTTTAAGTGTAAGTTTCCAGGGAGTTTAGCAAGATCGCGAGGGCGATTACAAGCAACTCCAACTTTCGAATATACTATTAATGCGATTAGTGTAATCTTTTGCTAGGTGAGTTAAAATGGCCCGGTGTTAGGCGTCGTCGTCGCTTTATGGCCTCGACTAACTTCTGCTTGCGATTCGAGCTTATTAAATTTACTTGTAGGCG